AAAACTACACTACAGTTAATGCTCTGCACGTGACTAGAGGCCGCGTTAGTAGCTGAATCGAGCTGCGATATGCAGGTGAATTCCTCCACCTATCAGCTTTATACGTAAAGTCTAGTACATTAATAAGTTTAGTTTTGAATAGAAAGTTCTTTATACCTAACAGTATTTAATAAGGTAGAACGCTTAATTTAATGATTAATTTATTAGGCTAGATTGAGTAGTGTGTTTTTAGAAAATTACATAATCTAGTTTTTAAGCTTATAATAAGCTAGAAGGACCCACTTCTTTATGTGAGCTGATTGGTTATAATATTAGCTAATTTATGTATTTATTATTATAATTCAAGTATTTTATTAGATTTATTATTAATTATTTTAGCTTTTTTGAAAATTGAAAATGTAGTTTTCTTGTTAATGCTCTGATTGAATCTTACATAGTAGCTTAATTAGCTAGCCTAACTAGCAACGTGGCCTTAAGGGCTAGTCACGTGACAAGTTACGTGTCACACAATTATATAACTAGCTTTCTAGAGCCTTTATAGAAAAATAGAACCTTAACCTTCTTAGCCCTTATAGCTGTTATATTTACAGTTATCCCACAGTTATTTACAGTTATTTGTACGTCTTTTATATTAGTTATCTTATATTGGTTATCTTATATTAGTTATCTTATATTGGTTATCTTATATTAGTTGTCTTATATTAGTTGTCTTATATTAGTTGTCTTATATTAGTTGTCTTATATTAGTTGTCTTATATTAGTTGTCTTATATTAGTTGTCTTATATTAGTTGTCTTATATTAGTTGTCTTATATTAGTTGTCTTATATGTGTTGTTTTTCCCTATGTAAACTAGCTGTCTACATGCTAATAGAAAATAAAAGGATTGCTATTATCAACTACCTTAACCGCTTCTACAAGATAGTAGCTGGGATTATTTTCGCTCCCCTTTAAGCTAATACTAGTACAATTAGGCCTATAACTATCTGCTTTATCCGCGATTTTTTGTTTATTAATGGTTGCTTGGGAACTAGCAGAGCTTGTCAAGGATAGAGGAGACTCAACCGCATTAATACGCCGTCTTTTTGATGGTGCAGCTATATCGTAGTCCGCTATATTAGCCTCAACCCAAGCCCGAGTTCGAGACGTATAATATCCGTCATTATCATTATTCTCGGGATCCTCCGATGCGTACTCGAATTCTTCTACGCTTTCTTGACCGTCTCCTTGCTGGGATTCTGATTGTGGCCTGGATCTCTTACTAGGACTCGAGGCCCGCGATTCTCCGCCGCCGTATTGACTGTGTCGCTGTGCACGATCCATCTGAACTTCTTGAGTAATCCAAGCAGGGCTGCCGCTGGAGTCGATGCCACGACGCACCACCGCGATCCGGCGGCGTTCTCCTCTTAGAATAAAGTCTTTGATACAGGCGAACACTGTGAGAGCAAATCGTGCAAACAGGAATTGCGGTGCCACGGAATTAAGGCTGTGTGCCTTGCGGTTGTGATATTTGAGAGCAGCGTCGCCGTAATCGCTCGTAGTCGAGAAGAAGTGTACGACAGTATGTTGATGCCCTTCCTCATCTAGTTTAGGAACAAAAGCAAACGCGCGATCGTCGAAGATCTTATGAAGGTCAACACGAAGTCGGCATACATTATCGTCACTATTTGACACCGACTTTGCGCCTTGAGAATAGTCACACATAGCATTGTCAGTGTACCACTTGTCGTGAGATTGGGGTATAACGTGTGCCTTCTCGGGCCTCATACGGCCCGAGATGATACAGCTTGGTTTAGTATCGCGGGGAGTCATCGCAACAGAACCCCAAGATTGCGGGAGAGCATCAGGAAATCGCCACTCCTGGAAATTAGGTGTGACAGCATACGACGTCGTGTCAGTGTCGTCTTCTGTTACGAATCTTTGGTCAGCAGGCGAATTCACGGATGATTGAATGGCGGAAGAACCGGCACTTCAGCTTCGAGATGATATAAAGGGGGGAAGGGAAAATGAGATCACCTTGGAGGACGTGGAGAAAGTAGTGGTCATGCATCAAGATACCACAGGGAGCCAGTTGTACCCTGTTGCTGCCTTTGCGATCGTAGCTTAAATACGCAGTCTCGAATGAGTTTCCTGCGATAATCTGGCAGGCTAATAGCATGGTTTTGAAATGGACCCCATAACGCGCTTTTCCTAAGCAGGCGCCCTTTTGCCTATCGTCGGTTTCGTCGTCCGTTTTGTCTTGCGGCCCTACCTCATCCAGTCTAGGTAGCGAGAACATTGTGTCCTCACCGCGGATGTACCCAGGGTGCCATATTGAAATATGAGAGCGCAAATGCGACGGAAGTTGACGTGAGAGACAGACGTCTTGGAGCCGCATCGCCCTCGCCCTCGCCCTCGTCCGTAGTCGTTGGTGCCGAGGCGTCGCAGAAGCAGAGGAAGTGATTTTGGTCAAGATATAGGATTGATTTCGTGGCGCTGATCAACCCTTGACTTCGTTTCCCTGTCCGTTCGGTTTAGGCGCAACATCTGGTATTAATCGACGGGAACAGCCATGCAAATTCTATAAGCAACACACAACTGGCTGGCAGGATATACTCGACAACTTCATTCTCTACCACTGGAAGAGGCTATGGGGTAATGGAGGTTTCTGGGTGGGCTGCCAAGTAGACTTTGAATTTGCATAACGGCACCAGCCACGTTGGATTTACGTAAGCACACTAACACCTTTTATGTCACCATAGCAACCAGATGGCATTGCCGCTTTCGCCTTGCTAAGGTTCCTTCACCAGACTTTCAAGATCAGGCTGAGGCACAAACAGCTCGCTGCTTTGGGAATCGTCGGTTACTCTTACAGTCGAGCCGTTTTACTCGCTTGATGTTAATTGCCAAAACTGACTGCTGTACATTGAACACTCTAGCCCATGTTGCCGCAATCTTGGCTCCTAGGCCATTTGCACATTGTCGCGGAATTAAGAGCGGTATGCCTCCAGACATTAGTTTTATCGCCTTTCATGGCTGGCTAGCCGAAAACGTCAAGAAATACTTCCCAGCTCTAGATGAGGTTCCACTTGTAGTTTACCTCGACATGTGGCCTTTGCCGAAGTCCTCAGTTGTGGTAGTCTTTGATGTTACCACGTCCGCCGATTTCATAATCAACCGTAAACTTCGAAAACATTTCATAATGAGAGACTTTCTGCGACCCTTAACGGAGGGTATGGATGTACTTTCGTCACGCAGCGATACTTGGAAGAAGTGGCGGTCCGCGTTGAGTCCGGAATTTAGCCCTCGCAATGAGCCATGATTCCAGAGCTTCTAGAAGAGATAGAGGACTTCTATGAAATCTGGGGTGAATAGGAAATGGGGCCCCGTTTCCAGCTCTAAAGTCTAACCACACATCTCACCTTGGACATAATCTTCCGAGCATCTGTGTAAGTTCGCATTTCTGCTTTAGACATCGCAGACAGCTAACAATAACTGAGTTAATAAAGCGGTAAACGTCTGCATGAACAAACTAGCCCCACGGGAAGTCCTCTTAAAGTCGCACTGCTTTATCAGATACAATTGATGGAAATTGGTGGTGATGTGCGTCAGTCCCTATTTAACCTTGGTTATATGCCTTGGCATAAGTGGCTGATCCGCCGAAATAATCGCATAATGGAGAAACATTCTCTGTTAACTGCGGAAATTATTGTTGACACTAACCCTCCTACATTAAACAAAATAACGCTGCTTAGCTAAGCGTTAAAATACATCGAGGGAGAAATTGGCTGAAAGGCGGCATCTGTATTATCACTTGACAAGGAATTATATTAGGCTCTTATAAGTAACTTAAAAGTCCTTGTACTTGCGGGGTTTAAGACTACTTTAGGGATTATATATTGGATGTTTAAGGAATTACAGGATAACCCTTAAGGCATAGCAAACGAGCTGAGCGCGGCGCTGTATATAGCACTAATCTAGCTAACGCCTTAATTCGTCTTACGGAGTCGCCTCACTTTTTAAACTCTATTCCCTATATAAAGGCGGTTATAAAGGAAGTTCTTAGAGTGTATTCCCTTACATTTATTATTCGATAAGGCGAACCTGGTAATACATCGAAGAAGGCTAGACTTTTAATAAAAAAAGAGACTTATTTTAAGAAAAGCGAGAGGAACGGCTAATTTTTTTAGGATAAAGTGAAGAATCTACTAACTCTCGACTAATAAAAGACTATTTTCTTACTATTGCTTGGTTTTTGATAAAATATCCCACAGAAGGATTTGGTATTTAGGATGCTATTAGTTAGACGCAGCGAAATCCGGCTATCTAGCTACGAGCGCACGAGTTCGTACCCGAACGGTGGCTTTCCAAGGGGATCCTCTACACCCTCTAAAAGACGCCCTCCGTACGTTTTGTCTTGGTTAAAGGAGCTGCATTAGCTAAGAATTAGCTTTCGTAGAGGCCAAGCTAGTCCTCGTTCTGTGTGCTCGCCGGTTTAACATTAAGGAGGTATGGGATAAGTGGGATGAGAAGCAGTGAGTTCTGGTACCCTTCTTTTACTCGCTTAGGACGCGGAGAATGCCTCGACTACGATTAAAAGAATAGTATAAACTAACTACACCGCTATTTCTCCGTTTAAATATACTAAAATACACTATAAATAGGCAGCGATTATATCTAACTAGGCTTAAAATAATGCACCCGAAAGATTATATACCTGTTTATATTAGACTAGGCAATATTAGTAGAGGGGCTACTAACGCGAAAGACAAGTAAACAACTATTTCTTACAAAATATTATTACGTTTAAAATAGTAATAAGCACGGGGTATAATTAAGTATAAAAACTTCTTCTGCTATAGAATGTATAGAATATAAGAGTTAAGGTATTTAATTAAGGTTTATTTATAGTTTTATATAGCGAAAACACTTACATTAAACAGCTTACCTCTAATAAATATTCTGTGTTAAGTAGTAACTAATATAAGGGAGTTAATCTGTCTCAAATAAAACAAATTAACACATAAAAAAGAGAGTTGTAGTGAAATAACATGAGTGTCATGTAGTGCCTGTGTCTGAAGCGGAGGAATTGCATCTGGGAATGTTCTACTCGCTCGAGCGTGTCCCATTACCCTATGAAGAAAGTCCTTGAATTCGCAGTGAATTTATGATATTGCGCGCTTCTGGGTTACAACTGCCAGTAAAAGTCTCAATCTTGTGCATCTCGCCCCCTATGTTCGCATGCAGTAACTGGAGCACCTGCTTCGTGTACTCGAGAGATTCTGCGGTGCGCAGTAAATCGATAACCGTCTCCTTGTGGCATTCCGTAGCGTTACTACAGCGGCGTAGCGCTAAATGAGAAGGTTTCTTAATATCATCCGAGTAGTCGTGTCCGCGTTAACAACTACACGTATCAAATGAAGCTATATTTGCCTTCTTCTAGGTCCTCGGCAAAGCCCTTAGTCTTCTCATACTATTTAGCGGATCATACATAATTAGCGTTATAGTTTTCTCAATTAGCATCACTCAATTGTATCAACGCACTAAGCTTACCTGATCTGACGTTAAATTATAGAAATTGCCGCGGATCTAAAAGAGTCGTCTAACAAGTGTCATAAAACGATCCAGATTAGCAGGCTTCGTTGGTGACCGGGATTAAGCAATCATTAGTTTTAATATCATACGAAACAGCCCACCAGTCTCTAATATTTAGTTCATTAATAAAACAGTTGAGATACTAACGAATGTAGAAAGAAGTGCACTTACTACCATCTACCATCCGTAAGTAAGCTTCAATTATAGGCTCGGAGATAAGACGTGTCCACTGTAAATTATAACCTTATCCGATAAGAAGGCTTTTCACTTCATTTTCATTCGTATCTTATTAGCTATTAGATGCATAATTATAGGCGCCCATTAAATCAGAAGATTAAAAGCAAATTTAAAACGGGAAGGAGATTAAGGACGATTATACCAATCATTACGCTCAGCGATAGGGCATCACCAAGCTAAGAAACCCGCGAAGGACATCGACAATCTGACAGGTAGCGGAGTTAACGGTCTGTAACATACCAAATATATAGTGCGTCGCTGGTTTTAAACGTCTTATTGGTGAATAATCCTACACATCGTCTAACCTAAGGTCCGTGTAAGCATTCTCTGTTCAAACAAACTCATGGTGGATAACCCTTTTTAAGCATGTAGGAGGCTCGGACCAGCTTAAACATATATGCTAAGACTAGTTCAGATAGAAACTCACATGAGAGAGAGATTATGCACGTCTCTCACAACGGACTTGACATCGGCGAGGGCCACGTCTGGTAATTCAGCCCATATATTTAGCGCTTCAATGAGTTTATCTCTCACTCCCTTGGACGGAAGAGAACTAGTGTACTTAAATGGTCCCATCACAGGCTGTAAGAAGGGGAATCGTTAGCATGACCCCTATTACTGTTCTGCCGAGATCGTCTTGCATTGCTCATACATTTGTGATAGCCGGAGGCATACTAGTATCACGAAATTTTGCTATAAATATTCCCTGGGGTATAGAATTCCTATTGAAGCCTTGAATTCGCTTTGACTAATTTTCCGTCCCAGATTGTCCCATCTTCGTTCTGTAGCAATTTGCGATATAATATTTTGTGTTGCCGATAACGTAGTCATCTTGGCCATCTATGTTAACGTGTTATGATGTTTCGGGATATTCTCCACATGAGATGAAGATTAAACCCACCAAGTATCGCCTTGCAAGATGTAGAGTCCAGTATTATTCCGGGAACATTTGTGAGTCCTGTGCCGCTAAATGCTTTTCGGGACTGTTACGTGTTACTGAGTTGTCCTGGAGAGAGTAAAACTGGATGGAGGGGTTGTTGCCGTTGCTCATGTTTTCTTTCTAGTAGCGATTCTATGGCGTTACAAAGAGTTCTATATGATGTAGACGCTTATTAAGAATAAATGCAAGATAATAGTATAAATCCAGTCTTCCTTGTTCATTTGGCTGGTTTGCTTCGGTGGACAGATTTATGCTGCTAGGTGATATCAGTCATTTCCATTAGTATGTACGAGAGTCCGAAATTAGAAGAGAGTCAATGCGCGAGGGTAATGCATCATACAGATAGCTCTATGTACGAAGCATTACGGGCGGTACCATTCAAGATCAAGCTATGCGATACTTTGAAAGCGATATCGAGTCGTTTGCCTTTTCCGCACAAAGCCGACATTCGGAACGACACCATTCAGGCTTGCATGTCCGAGATACTGCATCCCTATAGGCTCCATGCCTTATACTAGGGGGCCATTCGCAGAATCTTGTTCCCAAGTGGACCTGGACTCAGGTCATGATGGATTCAACGTAGGTTCAAGCCTGTAATACTCTTTGCACAATTAGATAGCTTACACTCGTTTCTCATTTTGCCTGTCATAGAAGTTCGACGAGTTCCAAATAAAGTAGCGCGTCATGATAGGCCGTTCGAGCTAAGCTAAGCAGCGGCAAGCCGGACGACCCTCATTACATTTGATCTTGCAGAAGTTTGTCAACGGAAAAAGCCTACTATTGTACGGTATTGCCAAATGAAGCCGCCAAAAGCCTCGTGAAGGCTCACGCCACGGCCCTATTGAAGCCGGACCTCCAAGACAGCTAAATCCCTGAATTGATGACCTTCTGGATGACCTGTTAGATGATCTGATATCTATAAAGAGCCCGCAATCATCCAGCTAGATAGCTTGAATACAAGGACTTATCCACTGTTCAATTCAATCCATAACTTTTAACGTGATAAAGTTGATAACGGGCAACCACCACCTACCTGCACGTGCGACTTCCCGTCTTGTCTCTACTTGAACATCTGAAAAAAGCACAGGTTCACGCACATGTGCCTCCATTGATAGATTCCACGGTGTCCATGTTTGGAGGAGAATTTGCAAAGCGCTGATAGCTTGGCCACGCATTGTCACACCGTTCACAGCAAAGTTCCGTGGCAAGATGCAGAACCAAGCTGAATTGGGTTATTTGACCTCTCTTTCTGTCAATTAATAGCTTATCATGGACATAGTCTAGCAGGAAACAGCTGTAGATTAAACCGAGGCGATTTGCTAGTTGCAGTTATTCATTTCGCAATCGAGCAAATTACCTTCCCAAACGCAGAATTGAATACAATCCGGAAAAAGAGAAAGTCATTGCGCTTTTCGGTAGACTATGCATTGGTGTCTTCTGTTGCATCGGTGCATTTTTTTTGTCTGGCTTATTCTGTTGGCGGCGTTTGCTACAGAGACGTTTGTTGGACCGACTCTGATAGATAAACACCCGCTCTCGCTCTGCTACTGTGAATCCGCAGCTGTTGAGTGATCTAGATGGTGGAAGAATAGCTGAAGCGTGAAATCCCTCTCCTCCTAGGTGTCGCGTAATTCTTGTAATCCGAGCAGACATGTGTTAGCTCGACTCCGCGCAACCGTCTTTGCAACCGTCTTGAAACAACGTAGATTAACAGTGTGAACACATAGATGAAAATAAATGCAATCAAATGGATCTGGGCATATCGTAGGTTTGCTACCCGATCAAGAATCCGAGAGTTACTAGCAGCCACTGGATGTGCAATTATCCCTCAGGTGTCTTAACTCGCCACACCACTAACAATGTAATCTATTCCATGTAGGAGGATAAGAAGGTCCAAATATAACATACTCGCGTAGAAGTTAGCTTACAGATTTTTCTGTTCTCCAATTTTTTGTCAAGCTTTTCTTCCACGCTGCCAGCTCGCCTCTCATTTCATTCCTCTTGAAAGGGCGCAAGAACTTTGGTGGTCGATACATTGCACTGACCAATCCTGCCAAAATGCGAGAAAACCTTGTTAGCCCTACCTCGTAATTGATGTATTCCATAACATTAGCCCGTAGAGTTGATGAACCGAACGCGGACTCGAAATCTGACTCTTTCAGCGAAACATGCGGATCCCACTAGGTAGGCCGAGAGCCGTAGCAGACTGCTTTTCTAGTATAAATATGGACCACCAGATCTTTCTCTCAAGCTTCTTAGTGGTACCATTAGGGGAAGTAGCAGATCAATGCAGTCTCTTTTTTGTGCAAGGATGATTGCGGAGCAGAGCTAGTAGGGTTGGCTTTTTCTGCCTTAATGCCTCCTCTCCAAAACCCAGTAAGATTAATGGCTGTAGAGTTGGGAGTATTCTGCTCTCGCAATTAGCGTTGTATATATACTTTGCGCGACAAAAGAAGACACGTTTTGTTTCTTGTCGGCACCTGTTATTGTTGGAACCAGCCCTTATAATCAGTCACGGTGCTTACTTAGGTATACCGATAACTTTTATCAAGAATTTAATTCATCACTCTACATAAGTTCTAGATATTAGTAGTGTGAAAGCCATGAATGACGTAGAAGTTGCGCGGCGCGCAATGCAAGGCATTAATTACATCACCATCGCGCAATGGCAGCGTCACTGACCCAACCGGAGCCCAATCTACAATTGTTTGATTTGTGAGCCGAGTCAGAATATGCACGGGTTGCGACAAAGGTAATCATATAAAGACCCCAGCAATAGCACACCCTTTGTTATGGAAGAGCAAGACCCTTTTGCATGCTGTTCTCACCAATCTCCCTTGTCAAGTAACGATAGACTGGCACTCGATCATCTTACTGCATGGAGAAACTGCCCTCGCAGTAGTGTTATTAATCGCAAAGTATTGATAGCGGATGGATCAGCAGCAAAAGCGCTAACTCGGAATTAGAGAATTTAGGCGTCGAAGGGAGGGCGTTTGAAAGATATGCCAACTATCATGATACGGAATGTCGGCGTTTTTGACGGAGGCAGCATTCAGCATTATCCAACCTTTTGTTTTGCTGGGAATCCAGGTGATATCCTTGGCCACGAGCCTGATCCCGACATCGTAATCGATGGCACCGACTGCACGCTTATCCCTGGCCTCATTGACTCCAAAATAGATGCTGGCGTGACGCCGGAGATTCTTCCAACATGTTCAGGGTATGGAATAACAACGTTAATCGATTCAAGCAGTTCGTGTGCTGAGAGTCAGGCTATGAGAGTCGCTGCCGCCGATGAGCCTGGCCTTCCATCATTTTTAGCTACGGGGTCTGCCATCATCGCTAGGAACACGTCTCTTCCTACAATATCAAATTATGGTAGCATGGAGGTGGTCACAACGACGGACGAAGCCGAGCGAGTTGTGGAAGCTAAAATCGCATCGAGCCGAGCAGATTTTATCAAAGTCATTGTGGACCAGCCGGGATTAAACGCAAGTCTGCTCTCGGCTCTAGTAAGAGCAACACATAGTCACGGCAAGCTGGCAATCGCGCATGCGGCACAGTCTAGTTCGTATACCCTAGCTGTAGACGCGGGTTTTGATGTTCTATCACCTGTGCCCATAGACGGGGATATTGAATCCGATGTGGTTGCCAAGATAGTAGAGCGAGGGATAGGTATTATTCCTACTCTCCGATTTCTCAAACAGGGCATGCCTCTCTGGAAAATTCACGATTCGGACTACGACTTGTCATTTGCCTTTGCTGCGGTGAGAAGACTGTACAACGCAGGCGCCATTATATGCGCAGGTACATCAGCGAACACGTCAAGGCTTATAACTGTTCCATTCGGCCAAGGGCTTCATGAAGAGCTCCAGCTACTCACAGCGGCAGGTTTGTCAAATTTGGATGCTATCCGTGCCGCGACCTGTCAACCTACGACCTTGTTTGGACTTCGCGACCGTGGGTTCGTGAGAACTGGCCACAGAGCAGATTTGATATTGGTTGAAGGGAATCCACTGGATGATATCAGGTTTTACAGCAGAATTCGCCGTGTTTGGATAAGGGGAGTGGCAATTAGCTGTAGGTAAGAGGTCAGAGTCGAGAAGAAAGGAACGGGCATACTGTTGATGGGTCCCTCTAAGTCCGACTTCATTGCTGCCATATTATCGATTGATTGGTTTACGCTAGATAACATTTCATCTTGGCAGCACATCTCCCTGTATGCTGCTGCTATATGCTTCATACGGTAACATTCTTCACTAAATTGAAATCCTCTAAAAGAACTTAATGGCACTTATTAGCTACTCAGTTTTATAAGTCAATTTCTCTTTGGATGGAGGGGGTGTGACAGACGCGTACTTAATTACAACAGATGTCAGTCGCAATTAATCTCTCAAGTGCTCCTTTTGAATAACCGGGGCAGCCCCAGGTTTACGCGAATGGCGGCCGATCGCCACCGTCAGCCACCCGGCCGGTCGTGTCGCCTCCCCTGTCTCCTGGAGTTAGAGTGTAACCTCACAGACGTAAGACTGACGAAATCCATTTACCGCCTCAGATGGATCCTACAATCTGTGTGACTCCCTCCCATATGCTTAAAAAAGTCAAAGCGGCCATACCGTAGCTGGCTCATTTTACCCTCTAAAATTACGTTTTAGATGGTGGCTAACACATTGATCGTTATGTCTGGAAGACAACTTATACCTAAGTCTTCGTTTCCCCCGTTGCAACAGATCGAGAAGCCGGAAGGGAATCAAGTTCATAAACGTCAAGGGGTAACGCTAGCATGTGATAGTATGTCTCCAGTATCTGCAACTCCTCGCCATGGACTCTGCGCGGTTGGCTGATGTATGCTCGGCTTACAGGATGCCGAAAACGGAAAGCAAAAGTAGGTATGCCTCGTAAGTACTAAGTGCAAGACTTTCTGACGATTCCCAGTGTGATGGTGGTCGGCCATCTTGCCGTGCTTGTCTCATAGCCAGCGCAGAATGCAAGTATACGACTCGGGGGTCCTCATTAGCGCAGCGCCATGTCGGCTTACAAGAATCGTATAATGAGCTCCGGCAGGCGGTGGAAGCAATATGTGCAGTCTCTGAAAGAGATGCAGCTGATATCGTGAGACATGTGAGGCGAGCTCAAGGTTTGGACAACATCATCCCATCGCTTTGCAGCCATCCCAGTGTTGAGCAATATCGGCTTCTATCTCCGGAACAGCAACGCGACTGGATGAAAGATCCAGACTCTCCAGGGCCCGTCCCCTCAGAACAACTTGCAAATCGAGCTGAGAATGTATACCTCCTGCCGATTTCGCAATGGACCACAGTAAGCCAAGACGATACTTGGTTATCGCATCTACTTAGACTTTTCTGGACATGGGATACTACTCTTACCCGACTGATTCATCGCGATCTTCTGGGAGACATGATTTCCACTCGTAGGGATAATAATGGCAAAGCTGATAGCCAGTTCGTGGCGCAGTTCTGTTCGGAACTGCTGATCAACTCGATATTGGCTTATAGTTCGGTAGGTGCCTAACACTTTAAATCAACAGAATATTGTTCCCTCGCAGTTTCACTAACTGGTCAGAGTTGTTTCACGTTCATGAGCAATTACAAGCCGGTTCAGGGGCACGATTTCGCAGAAGAATCATATAGGCTTCTTGAGACACAACCGTTGAATAATTGCATCGCACTACTACAAGCTGTTGCTGTACTGTCTGTTTACGAATATACATTTGGAGATCCCCAAAAGGGGACTAGCCTCTTTTTCGAGACTTTGCTTGATTTACGTTCGACCTTGCTCCCTATCGATCAGAGCATAGCCCCGGACGACAGTGGCATGAAGCAGAAAACCCAAGACGCATTATCATTTATTTCCAGTGGGTTCTATTGTATTGATGTGTATGTCGCCGTACCCCCAGCTACCTTCGAAATTCCAGTAACTGATGTTCGCAGCAAGCTGAGCCTTATTGCAAGCCCATGTCTGCCAAGCAGGTGGACAAGTCAAGTGCTTCCAAATGATGGTCACGGCCCATCGCCAAACATGCAAAGACACGCCGATACACTATGGGTTCCTTATCCTGTTTCCGTTAATTCTCGAATAAGCTATTCAACTGAAGCGCTAACGGCAGAGTATGAGTTGGTCCGGTTAACAACGGAATGTTTAGAAGTCACCGAACTAAATGGACAAGCGCTGATGCCGAATCATCTTGATTCAGCTACAATATACGATCGATTAGTTCATTGGAAAGATTTTAATGCTAGACGATTTTATGGGTCTAGCTCTATCATCCCGTCATGGGTAGCCATTCTGTAAGTTGGTAACCCAAGCTCGTCAGATGTGACAACATGAACTGATTTCGGAAGGACATTCTATCACACAGCGTGCATCAAACTACTAGAGCCATTTATTCTCTTGCCCTTCCCGAATTTTAGTCATGGCAGATCTGCACGGGCATTGTCGTTGGAACACAGCGCAGCAATGATTTCAGTATTGAAGGAATACGATGTAGCCTTCTTGGGGCGACACGACTATTGGCTCTTGCACACATGTGAGGTTGCGGTCAAAGGCTTACTTCTAGAGAAAAACCTACTTGGTCGTACGGAAGACTTCCTAGCCAAAGGCTGCGAGTTGTTATATAACCTAGGGCGATACATGCCGCAGGCAAATGGAATTTTACTGGAGGTCAAAAAACACATTTGGATGAGTGAAAGCAGGGTTTCGGAGAGAGCCAAAAGAATACTACAGGCTGGAAGTGTGAGGGTTCGGCCAACCATGATTGAAAACACCTCGTACTTGAAAGTTGACGGTGATGAAGCTGGGCTAATGCCGGCCGGATTCATTGCATTTCGCGAGAATGTAGATGTCATTGAGAGTTAGATCGATTTGTCATGAAAGCTGTTCTTATATATGCCAATTTGATTCCTGTCACGTCGGAGCGTCAAGTTAAGTTTATTCTCAGTGAGCCCTGATGAAGAACCCCATTCGCCACAGCGGGCACTTTTTCGTTTCGTCGTGAAAATCACCCTCGATCTCGAAGCAAACGGATTTTCTTGTATTAAGAGGAATATTACAGCGCTAAGACTAGAAAGTTTAAGAGAGAATTAGAAAGAAATGGAGCTTAAAGTTAGCCTTTTTATATTCTGGCTCATGTGGCGGCTAGTTGGTAGCAGCTTTAATGGAAGGAAGACAATAAAGGCCTAGGAGAACTGTGAGGGATCTAATTTAAAGGAATGGTTGTATTTAATATGAAATTCAAGCTCTATAAATCTTTAAGATAGTCTAACCCCAGAACACATTCACAACGTGAGGACATTTAGTGCAAGTGTAGCAGAACTACAGCTGTCGGATAATAATGCCTCTATGAGTTAAACACGTGGGGCTCACAGTTTCTGCTTGCATATTTTATCAGATTTGTTTATGCCGTTCGCAGAGGGTTCCGGCCAAGTCACCCCTTTTACGGCAGATTCGCTTATCGCTAACTGCTACTGTCTGCCTCTTCTATTCTTGGGGGCCTCTCGGCTCTAACGTTACGGTAGATTGCCATAGCTTATAAAGACTTTATCCAAGTAGTCTTAAAGCTGTAGAATACCAGAGATTATACTATTAGTTAAAATATTACTGTTAAGCTAATTAAGTATATTCTTGCAAATATTATAAGTGCTTATAGTAGTATCACTATAGAATAGGAGGTTATATGTGCCGAATTATAGCACTCCTTTGATGCTTAACTTTAGGCTATAATATAACTTATATTAAGAGCTAAATGGGAAAAGTATAAGTTAATTTATTTGAAAGCTAGGGTATATAAAAGGCCTTTATACGTTTATTCTATAGCAACTATACTCAACCGATTTTTATATCTGGTAGAGTGTGACAAGGGCTTATTAGAGGGCTTAGGGAAATTTAGCTCAACTTATCTAATAACAGTCTTTGGTATTAAAAGTCCTTGGTTTTCCTTAAGGCCTCGTTAACTGAAGACCTCTTTAAATACAAGAAGTCGGCAAGGGACTTTGCCCCAGGTCTCGTGACCGTAGCCCTTGCAACCTTTAACATTAGACCATTTCCGTGTAACATAGAGGCAAGCCCTCGAGATAATAATAGCATCTAAACTTAATTGCTAAGGTATAGACTTCTTATAACTATTCTTTAGCTATAAAATTCTCTAGCTATTACTCTAGTATGCTAAGGCTAAAAGTGTTATAAGCGGTTTCAGACGTGTAAAATTCACCCTAGCGCTATCTAACCGTCCCGTATAAAACGGTATAATATAAGCCGTTAACCTATAGGCTAGCACGAGCTAAAGTTAATGGGTATTACCTCCCCTTATTCCTTAAGCATAATATTCGCTAGATAGATATAATTATGCGCCCGTCCGATGAGTGCAGATGGCTAACTGCGAACCGGAGTCCTAACATGATACAGTCCTGATCGACTAGTCCTTTGAACAGGGGTGGCTATTAGGTCTCAAACGCAAGGTCGTAAGAGAATGAAAAGTTTCTAGGACTAGCCCGGTAATCCTGCCTCTCTTTACACGGTAGCCGTAGTATCCCACGATATTCGAATGCGGCCACTGCTCTAGGAGTTCCATGGAGAAATTACAACAATTTACACAGTGGAATTAAAGGTTTTAAGTCAATTCAATTCATAATCTTGAATACTGAAGGATAATGATAATGCCCCTTAGGGCCCTGCAAATTTGACACCAGTTGACTTTTCATACCCGGTCACAGTCCCTGAAAACCCCTGCTAGGGCTCCCTTCAGCCCAAGCCCTAGAAAAAAGCAACTACCATGGCTAACAGGACCTAAAAATGACCTATTCCTTCAAACAATGGTATAAAAGAGGGTATCAATTGACAGGTAGACGTGGTATATATACTAACCGGGTGCTCTGCGTGTAGAGACAGTAGAGTGCGTTCATTCGGATTAACTAAGCCCTTGCACTTGAAATATACGAAGTAATAGTTACTAAATTAATTATCGCCAAGTATTTCTTGGCTTAAATTATACGGGCTCAAGTAATATAGTCCCCACTATACGGATTCATATCGATATGCATATACCTATAGGAGAATATATATTATATTACTTGAGCTATACCTTTAAAATCGGCTATCATGTCTTATTTCTCCTTCATAAAATTTAAAATACCGGTGTGTATAGATACACTATGAAGTAGAATTTGGATTCCAAGGCAAGCAGAAAGACATTACGCGATGGGAGACTTTCTTGCGCTTGTGCTAGCTAAATGAGAAAGGGTTATATCGAGACGAGGTCTCTCTGCTATGAATCAGGCCACAATAATACCGCCACTAGGGTGACGTACCACGTATCGGATCATACCCATATTGCAACCCTAGCTACGAGCAGCAAAGTGGGGGTTGTGCTGGTAATAGAACATAAGAATATCACCTATACATGTACATAGAAGGTTGCTGCTAGTATAACAATCCCTGTTAGTAGCTTCCTTATCAAGTAAAGGGAGTTCACGCTACCGTGGTGCTCGATGCAGGGTGTGTTAGACTGGTATTCCTAGTGGGACTGGTCATTCTCGACCCCCGTCATTAAAGGCATCAAGCACCGAAATGTCAGATACCTGCTCCTTTAATTTGCCCTGGTCTTTTATACTCTGCTATATAGGGCCCTACCGGTGCCGAAAGGGCCGGGAGCATTCACCCCTACGCCTAATTATGCCGGTAAGGCTGGCATCTTATGGCCGTGGTGATTCTGGAGAGCCTGCGTATAAATACATGTAGCAGCGACCTGCCATTCTAAGACCTGCAGACTGTAGGGGGCTCTTCGTGCGAATTATTCAAGATCTTGAGGCGAAACCATGCATGCCATGGTGACATTCTTGCTTGCCGTTGCGGCACTAGCAGCAACACCCTCTGCCGCCAACAAGACTCCATCACGAGTCATACCCGGCACATACTTTATTGAACTTCATGAAGACGCTGTACGTTGTAGTACCCGGGAGAAAACTTCCGGTCAGATGACTAACAAGCAAGCGTAGGATGTGGCTGGCTTTGCTCACAGAGTCAAGAGAGAAGCCAATGCTCGCGTTCGCCGCCAGATCGACTACGTGCCTGACAAGGCAAAAGCAACCGCACCTTACAAGGCTCTCTCGATAGAGATCAATGATGCCGGCAAGATCAATGTGGTGGCTTCCATGGAGGGTGTTGTCAAGATACACCCGGTTGAGATGCATTCCCTGGGCGGCATTGCTCCGCCAAGCGACCGAGCCAAGGGCGAAAAGCAACGGTCTTTTGTTGGCAAACTCAGCAAACGTCAGGCAACGCGACGTGCTCTGCCCGAAACGAATACCACGGCATACCCCCCTCACGTCATGATGCAAGTTGACAAACTCCGTAGCAAAGGTATCACAGGCAAGGGCATCAAGATTGCCATGATTGATACCGGTGTAAGTGGCTTCTGCTTAATTGTTCCGTCAATAAATGTTAACACATGCATGCAGGTTGACTACGAGCACCCGGCACTCGGGGGTTGCTTTGGCCCCGGATGCCTCTTTTCCTTTGGAGCAGACTTGGTCAATAACGAGCCCACGCCGAAGGACTGCAATGGTCACGGAACTAATGCCGCCGGCATTATTGGCGCACGACCGAACCCGATGGGCTTTACCGGCGCGGCACCTGGCGCCCAGCTTGGCATGTACCGTATAACCTGCAGCGGTGAGTTTCCTAGCGACGTTATGGTTGATGCAATTTACCGCGCCCTAGAGGAAGGCGTGGATATTATCTCGTCATCGGCCGGGCTTCCCGGCGGGTGGCCGGGTAGTCTCTTATCATCGGCCGCAACGCGGGTTGTGGAGAGCGGTGTCGTATTCGTCCAGGGCGCAGGTAATGACGGCGAACTCGGTCTGTTTTCGCAGTTGGACCCGGCCGTCGGCAGCGGTGTTATTAGTGTTGGATCAGTGCATAGCCGTGTGTCTCCTGAACTAGTTGTTGAGGCCAAGTACACCATCGGCAACGGATCCGAAGTCCCCTTCCTCTTCTACCCCACAGCACCCTCGGATAACTTCACCGGCACCCCAATGGAGGTCTACGCCCTGCCTGTAAATGGGTCCGGTGCTGGCAACGATACTCATGCTTGTGGACCGATCCGTGATGACATACCAGATTTAAGCGACAAACTCGTCTTGCTCCATTTTCGCCTTAGCCCTGGGGACTGTAACTTGTGGACTAGGGTCAAGTTGGTTCATGAAAAGGGGGCTACGCGTATTCTTGCATATATGGCAAGTGAAGACTGGACCCCTGGCTTGTATTACCTGGATGACTTTCCCGAAGGCGTCGTCGGCCTCGGAATGCTCGAGTTTAATAGCGCGAAGTCGATGCTCAAGGCCCTTGAGGCTGGCCGCAAGGTCCTCGCCACGGCCTTCCCATATGATGACGCACCATTAGTCTATGTTGAGACGCCAAATGAGAAAGTTGCAGGCTCTGTTTCCTCCTTCAGTTCCTGGGGCCCTTCTTGGAATCTCGGCCTCAAGCCTTCCCTAACCGCGGTTGGCGAACGAATCATCACGACGTCTCCTAGGGATCAATATATTTCTGGCTACGAAATTACACAAGGAACTTCGTTTTCAGGTCCGCTCATTGCTGCCATCGTTGCACTGATTGGCGAGGCCCGCGGCTCTCTGGATGCAGCCACTATCGAGAGCCTTCTTGTTTCGCACTCGCATCCACAGCTTTACCATAACAGACACGGTTTCTTGTCCTACCTTGCCCCTGTTGCACAGCAGGGCGGTGGTCTGGCGCGTGCCTACGACGCTGCCTACGCTACAACTCTTGTCCAACCTGCAAGCCTTAGCTTCAACGACACTGAACATATGCATACGGCAGCCCCGTTCAGCTTTACCATCAAGAATATGGGGGCAGGCGTTGTCACGTACCGTCTTTCTCACGTTCCCGCCGTCACCGTGTATACTTTTACGCAAAATGGCACCATTTCATCGTATCCCAATAAGCTTGACACACTCGAGGTTCCGGCCACTATTACCCTTAGTGACACAACTGTCACCGTAGCCCCGGGTAATTCCGTCAACATCCGTGTATCAGCATCAGCTCCTAAAAGCCTCGACCCCAGTCGCATGCCCCTATGGTCTGGCTGGATTGCGATAAACGGGTCTGATAGCAGTTCACTCTCTGTTCCTTATCAGGGTTTCTCCGGCTCAATCCGCAAACACCAGGTCCTGCCACCCGACGGCGCCACGCTCGTCTATCGAAATGTGTCCGTGAGCGAGGGTACCACTGTTGTCCTACCAACACCAGGCTCTATCACGACATCTCAACTTATGTTGAATATCAATGCAACACTAGGAACCCCTCTTGTTCGTGCTGAGGTTGTTCCCTTAAATAGCACAGCCAATGCAACCAATATTGCTACCAAGCCGATTGGTCAGCTTCAGGGGTTTCCTGTCCAGTGGCGCCCGAGCAACTTGCAGCAATCACCTGACTTGCTTCAATTCACCCAATTTAAATGGAATGGCCAGCTCGACACAGGTAGTAATGTACCCGAGGGCTACTATAAACTCGTCGTGCGAGCCCTGAGAATTTTCGGTAACCCTAGCAATGACGAGGACTGGGATATTAGTGAGTCGCCGCGGTTCCAGATTACATACTGCCAAAAAAGAAATTCATCTACCACTGTTCGTCGCCGAGCCGAAAAGGGATACAATTAGATACGGATAATGATAGCGAAGTCTATGCGCGCCGAACCATTTTGCATCGGACCGTGTCTGGCTCGTGGTTTGGATCTGCCAATCGGTTCGGTCCTGTATGATGATACATAGAACTACCATACTTTCATATTAGGTATTACGTATCACTTATACTTATGCTTGAATTATCTTGGAAATGTGTAGGTGTAGGGCTAAATAAAGTTTTTCTTGCCAAGAACTAGTATCCAGAAGAAACTACCCCTTACTGCTACGCCTCCCTCTTTATGTGTATGTGTGCGTAGAAAGCAACCGTGGTGCCGTGTCACGAGATGGTGAAAAGCAAATTCTAAGCTATTAATCCTTTCGTCCCTCTTATTTTGGACTTATATCTGAGCGCCTATATTCCTACTCGATTTTTGCTGCTTCAATAGCATAATCGTGCCCGCTGCGGCGGGGACACTAAGCGGGCAAATTGTCCGCAAAGTATCCCTTATGTTCTCATGCTTTAAGAATCGCCGCTAATATGTTGAGTATCAAGAATATGAATATCCTTCATCAGTGTTGAGAATAAAAACAGCGGCTGTTAACTTCCAACGCTGTCGTTCTGTGACCCTCGGCCTGGTCTATGACTTCCACTGTCTGGGAGACAAGCCAGTGGCTGTCCGCTCGGTTGCTAAAGCTGATTCACTGAGACACGATTGAAATGTTCTGACACAACCAGTATGGGATAGCGAGCTACAGTCTAGGTACTATTTATTGGTGGAAGCGGCAGTATCTAATGAAAGTTAATAGATATTTGGGCAAATTGACCCCGCTTGACTCCCAGCCGGATGGCAGAGTCTAGCAGGCTCTATGGAACGTCGAATTGTTGCGGGCACAAGCCAGTCCTAGGTTTTCATTTTCACGGGCCTTGATCTGCTAAATTACGGGCAAATGGTTTACTGAGTAAGGATGAAATTTTACGTCTATTTGTTGCTAGTGAGCACAACTGCTAAGCAATGCCAGGTTGAGGGATTGGGCCATTCCAGTAGACATTATTCTATATATACAGCGGCTTGAAGCAAGAACTAGCAATGAGAGCCCAACCTATTAGCTACTTCATTCCTCACTTGTTCTTTCTTTCTGCCTCTATGCTCGCTTTCTCGCCGTTTGATTCCGTTAGATCTACCTTGGAAAATTCTTTGTCCGCCCAAGCAGCAACTGTGATTCCTGCTACTACCAACGTCCAAGCGAGGGCTGACAACTTTACTTCTATCTTTCCGCCCCTGTCAAAAGGCAGTTGTAACCAGGTTTGAAAGTGGTCTGGCATGCTATGCAAGACCCAGCCCAGCGCAATGACCAAGACGGCAATGACCAAGACGGCAATGAGTCGCTTAATAGAAATGGCATATCCTGTCATGCTATGCAAAACGGCCTACTGTCGATGTCATTCTACTTTCTGAGCCCGAACTGTGGTAAATAGCTTAAATAGACTGAGAAAGTCAAGAATACCAAGAATACCAATGGCGGAACCAAACGTTGGTCACACTAAGAGTGGAATCGGGAGTAAGGTACCATACATAGAATGAATGCATATGATACCATTTTTCATGGGTGGTAACCATTCCACGGCTGGACAAATAATAGCCTGCCAAGCTCAACTCAATAGATAAAAGAACAACCAAATATCCTGCTCCCCGATGGAATTTGGGCAGTCTTCGACGAATGCTTTGGCTGTGCTGCATGGGGATGAGTATGCTCCACAGAATTGACGTCGCTCTCTTTCCTCCCTTGTACAGCCATGGCGGTGCTTGCAGTGCACGATAGTTGAGGATATTAAGCTCCAACTACGAAAGACATCTCGGTAAGCATACTTGGCATATGCGGTATGGGAGGTATTAAGGACTCACCAGTTTATCTCGAAACGTTGTTAGGCCAGGCCATTCGCTTCCATCCCCATACGGAGCTCTCACAAACGTGATTATAGAGACAGCAATCATAAATAAGTTAGGTGGTAGCCCGATCCAAGGGGAGATGCAAACTGGTGAAGAGGGTGTAAACGCCATTTCTGTAGTATGGTCCTTTTGAGACAATTTTACAGGTACTCTACTGTCAGCAAGGCGAAGTTAAATGTATTCGACTCCCCAATTGGCCGGACGATACGGGCCATCTGCAACTCCGCAGCCTCGGTACGGAGTGATGAACGTATGTATGGCCGTTTAGTATACCATTACTCCGCTGCCTTATTCTTCGCGCGGATTTCCGCGACAGCTTCCTATATACATCCTGTAACATGTCGTCTCTTATCATTCATGCAAAACAATTGCGTGTCCAACACTTGCTATCAAAATGGCTACAAAGCTAACTAGGAGTTTCTTGGTGTTACCGCTTCTTTTAGACTATTTCGAAATTAGGCCGTAGCGGTTGTCGCGTGCTCCGCGAGACCAAGTCAATTTCTCTCTATTTCCCGAAACCCGGAACAGCCATGCGCTAGACCGGTACACCTTTACGTCTTTGAGACAGCTACCCCAGATTTTCACTTACTCTTTGGCAACTAAGCGGGCTGTCCACTTGAGCGCCTGATGGGCAACCAAATACGGAAGTTCAAGCAACACCCAGACCACCAAGTGCGCCAACACCTGAGATGCCACGTACCTGATGCACTCCGATATACCAGTTTACTTGTAGTCACTTCAGACAATCGCTATAGACAACTAGGCACGGGACAATAGCTACGAAATCTCTCAAGAGATCAACGCGAAATATTGGCGTAGCGTCGAAGTTCGTGGAGTTGAATCTAAGACCGGAAGCCCTCTGCCAGGTGTTCTCTGCGAGAACTACTTTCACATAAAACTACCCTGTTAGAAATAGTCTAATTACAGCGCAATATCTCGATCAGCTTATTTTCCGAACAATAGCACGTCCGCGTCAGCACTAACACCTAGAGTCACACATCAATACGTATACAATTGTACACTTTGACGCGAGACGCATTCGAGTCCTACAGAGGGAGGGGAAATAGGCGGGATTGCATGCGCAGTCGTACCTAAGCCAATAGAACAATATCATATAGTTTGGCAGTTGCTCGGACACTTTCGGAAAGAATCGCCGTGGAGCTAACGTAGACTTGTGCTACAAATCCTTGTTATTGGCCATTGGTGCTAGTATTTGAATGTTCTTGGATTTGAAGTGTCCGGCAACACGTATGCTATCATTTACTCCTCTACAACATGCGGAGGAAACCAAGGGCCGCGTCATTTCTCTCGTATCAGGTGTCAGTTACTTAAGTGTCATGAATTATATTGTCTTTACCCTGGCAATTCACCGCCAATGTTTCATCAAACCTGACAATATATATACTCTGCCTCTTAGAATCGAGTATCATCACAGGCATGGCATAACAGCCGAATGGCGTCCGTATCCCAAGACAATGTCATTCAAACCACTCGTCTGCCATAGGCTTCAAATATTGCATTTAAAAAAGTCCGTCTGTTTACCCTCTTGCCACGGCTATAGGCCTGCTGTTCATGGGGCCTTTATCTGAGGTACTTGGACGAAAGCCACTATTGCATGCCTCGAATGTTTGGTTCTTAGGCTGGAATATCGCCTGTGGCTTTGCGAACTCTGCCGAACTATTAATTGCTACACGGTTCCCGGCTAGCCTTGGAGCGAGCGCCATATTTGCTCTCGTCGGTGGTGTTCAGAGTGACCCGTGGCGAGCAGATCAACGCGACAAGTCCCTGGGTGCTTACTTACTTATACCTTTATTTGGAGCTGCCGTGGGTATGTGTTTCTATTGGGGCATTTGCAAAAAGGAAACATTAGCTAGGCATTACAGCTAACATATCTCCAAAGTCCGATAGTGGGTGGCTTTATTGCATCACGCTCGGATTGGCGTTGGTCCTTCTGGGCTACATCCGCATTTCAAGGAATAATGACTGCTGTTTCTTTCGCAGTACATGAATAATCATACAGCCCGGTCATTCTCAGGCAGCAAGCAAGGAATGTTAGACGTACTACTGGGGACGACCGGTATTAAAGCACACAAAACGGAAGCTTGGATTCGCGACTATCCGTCGGGCGTTCTCAGGACCATTTAAACTTCTCGGGACACACCCAATCGTGCAAATAACATCCATAATATTTGCTTTTGAATATGATCTGCTCTATCTTGGCCTATCAACCTTCAGTCAGCTATGGGTAGATTAATATGGGCAATCTGTCGAAATCAGGAACTACATTACTTTCCCTGCGCTATAGGCGAAGTTGCTGGCTCCCAACTTGGTGGACCATTAATGGACTATTACTACTGAAAGGCCGTCTCAAAGAATGGCGGCGCAGAGCCTAAACCAGAGCATCGCCCCCCATTCATGTTCAGGGGGTCGTCGCTTGTGCCAGTTGGCCTTTGTATTTATGGCCGGAGCGCACAGTACTGACTTTGTTGAGTAATTATCGACCTTGGAATCGCGATTACTTCCTTTGGCAGCCAGATTGCCGGACTAAAGCTTCATGCTTACCTCATAGATGTGTATGGAGAGCAAACCAGCTCGGCGATAAGTGCATCACACTTCCCGCGTGGCCTGGCTGCGTTTCTGTTCCCGCTTTTCGCACCAAAAATGTATACAGCCTTGGGATATGGCTAGGGAAATACTGTACTAGCCGCTGCGGCGCTTTGCATTAGCCTCCCCTCACCTTGGATACTATGGAAGTACGGGGAGAAGTTACGGTCTCAACGTCGCCAAACATGTTAGTCGTGCTAGAAGAGCGGCTCGTCGTGCTTTCGCCTCTAGTTGAAGACATATTTTCGTATTGTCTCTTTCTGCCTCGAGTAGAGTTGACATCTGAAGATTTCGGCATTCTAATATACTACGACAAAATAGTAACATACCTACATTATCCCCGAAAACAGATATGCCTTGAGTCTTGACTAGTGGTGAGGTATGCGACCTTGAGAGTAAGACACTAAGATGAAGTATTATGATGCTAGAGAATAGACAGTCTCACGCGGCGCTCATGCTAAAGATTCTGTCGCTGTTTCAAGCACGGCTTTGCGGCTGGGTGTCTGGTCTCTCTTGATGACCTCTGTGACAGCCCAAATGCCGGCTATAGCATAGGCATAAGCCGTAACTCCCGTAAAGGCACTTATTTCCATGTCAATGACTTCCGTGAAAGATGTAGAACCAGCATCAAGTCCTTGGCACGAACAGGTAGCCATGTCAGAATATCCCCCCAGGCAAACAACACGGTGAGGTTGAGCCTGTTGGTGGCAACAACATAGCCAGCAATAGTATGCAGTACTGACCATTTGCGACGCTGGGTGAAGTTCTTCGATCGGGCCGTATGTGCAGGCGTATTCGTGGATAAGGAATAAAACCCCGCTGATGGATTGGATCAACGAGATTGTCAAAGCCGTATATTCGTTGATGCGGTGGAGGATCGACCACTTCATACGAAGGCTATCAACACGCTGAAGTGGCATCGCTACACATCATAAAACTGCCGGACCAGTGTTAACACATGATACAGCCATCGAGGTGCTGTTTCTTTTGTATTATCAATGATACTGATGCCCGTCTATATGAATATGTTAGCCATCTCAACCTGTCTACTATGAACAGGATTCCCTACTTCCAAAGTCCTGAATAGTGAAAATACTCCCAAGGACGGGTCTGCTCGAAATTTGGGCACGCCGGTGAAGTGAATGCAAACAGCGCAAACAAAAAAAAAGCAGCGCGCTTCAAGGTACAGCTAGACGCAACGAAACCTTTGGCTGTGTACGGGTCAAGGCCATGGCAAAAAAGAAACAAGTTTACCCACGTTACATTTGACCACAGAGACAGGGACATGTCCTTTACCGAAACTAGATCATTTCTTATATGTTGCCTTGGGGATAGGTCCGCCGGCGTTAGATTAGTGATCTTCCCCGGTCTGGGGTCAAAGACACCCCAATAGCCTTCTGATCTCAGCGTTTGTGGCCGTCGGTGTCCTAGAGATAGTCTTCGTATTACGCTGGATACCTCAACAGAGCTTTCGTACAGGTTTGACTCCTTCTTCAGACCTTGCAAATACCCTCACTCAGTCTGTCGAAAATGGCCTCGCCACATATCACTTCTATGCATGGAGCTACTCCCGTAATAATTATCTTCATTCCCGCAGTTCCCTGCATTTTTGCCCTGCCCGCATTTCCGATTTCAAATGACATATTCAACAAAATGCTTCTCCGTGTAATGCAGCGAAAGATAGGGGCAGAGTCCTCGTCAATGACACTCCATTGACAGGCTGGAACTGGTTGGACACCTTGCTGGATGCGTTCACAGTGTTTTCTACGATATGGTCGACGGATCAAGAGCCGACATATCTTTACTTATGATTCCATTCAGCGGCTCCGCAATGGGAATCTGGATTCTGCGCATGATTGAGAGCCTTTGAAAGGGGAACATGGACCACATACCTTCCTTGTAAGCATACCGTTGCACATTACCCACGACGTTGATTCTGGGCTGATCTCATAGCTTTGCAACAATGGCATTATTAGGGCAACTCCTGGGACTGGGAATCGTGAGCCCTATATTCTATGCTTTATCGCTGATTGAACTAAAACTCGTCTTGCTGCGTACCCGATTTTGATGTTGCACCGGAGATACTCTACACAACATCCATCAGCATCGCTATTGGAATGGCTTTCCCTTGGGTTATTGCGGCTCTACCAGTCCCTTCCATCCTGTCAATCAACCAAACGATTCATATCGTAAGACTTTGGGAAATCTTTCCAATCACAACATATCTTGTACAAAAGGCTCTGGATCCTCTAGCCAGACGGGTTCTCGGATCGACAGGACAAGCCGGCGGCCGGGAAAATCGGGCCATGCACCAAGTCTACATCATTGGTCTCCCTTGGAGCACAGCATCGTACTGGTACTTCTTGGTCATGGTATTCTCGGCTTACATGCTTCCTTCTATCTTCAAAACCGAGATAGCTGTGGAGCCTTCAACACCTGCGTCAGCTAAGGAATCCCTTTGCAATCGGCTCTCCATTGCCATCTGTGTCGCAGGGGCAACTATGGTTTGTCCAATGGGTATTTTGGCTAATCGGTGTTGCATGTTTTGTGCGGGCTTTAGCTCGAAGGTCAGAGCTATTAGAAGCCAACACACGTCACTTGAAGTCGAAAATCATGGTGAAAGGACTAATAAGTGCCTTGATGCTTGGCCCCGTCGGTCAACAGTGGTGTTGATATGGCAAGGAGACACGCTTATGTACAAGAACAATCATATCCGTAAAATAGTTTAACGAGCTTTTGCACGCTACAGAAAAGAAATCCCTGGGTTTGATTGGGATGGTCATTGTCATTCATTGGACGAGAGCTGCATCCAGGCCTGTACTGCCAAGCTGACCAAAACATTCTAGTCGGCGACGGAGTGAAAAATGGAAAAGCAATCAGTATTCAATTATAAAACCTAGCTTTCTGGACTAGGTGTCACACGATTAAACACAATTTAAAAATTATCAAAGCGACAACCTGATAAGGTTGATGACAATATCATCCCGAACCAGCACAAGTCTCGATTGATGATCTTCAGCATGTGAAGAAGACATCACGCCGCAAATGACTCGCCCCCAAGTTTCAGTCAGCTACGTAGCTTCCGTGCCCGGTGACATGGAGGGAGGCATGGAGTTTACATTTCGTCATAGCAGGCTCTGTGATCTCAACACCATACGGGGCTTCTCTCCGGGCACAATTAGCCAAGCATGATGGTGCGGTTACCCCGAGGTTCCGTTCCAAGCTTCCCGAGTCGTCGACTGATTGCATACAACAGTATCATCGGCCCTCACTTTCGCTTAGACGTGGGCCGATTGATCCAGCCTACCGTGAAGCTCGACCGCTTGAGGCAACTAGCGTACAACTTGCGTAGACAGAATAATAGCGCAGTGCTTGTATCCTCCACAGTCGTATGAGACAAACGCTGCCTATATATCCTTTATTATCCCTAGTTCCATCGATATTGATCGTCGATAGCGGCATGAAAGCATCATTAAGGTCAAGCCGGGGGGGGGGGTTATATAGCGGGGTCTATGGTGTGTGTTAAAGCTAGAATAGGCCGAAATACATACATTGTCCAGGCTCTTTCTTTGAGTATTCAATAAACAAAAGAAATTCTGAAATAGGTTAAACCGCAATAGAAATAGAAATAGCAACAGCACGACTCCAGCATCACAGCAAAGCACTATGATTAGCATGCATCAGAACTGTGCAGACGCGTTACTATTCGATTTACCCACAGATAGGCATCCACAAACGAGCGTGAGAGGCGGGGTTAATATAGTATAATGTTTCCTTACAACTACTTCAAGTCAAGGAGTGGCTAGTCTCGAACGCATAATGGGAGAAGTTGGAAGTGTTACCCTTGAGCATATTAAGATATTTTTACACCCGCAGGCGTATCCTGCTTTTAATAATTAACTAGCACAGCTACCGAAAAATGCATTTTAAGACGAACCTGGAGGACATTCTTAGCCCTAGCCTGGTAAGGCCGCTTTGGGCGGGCTGTTTGCATTTATCGCCTGTTCCAAGCAATCTCGAATCTTCTGGGCGACGCTGTCTTTGCACGCCTGGTCTCTGCACGCGCTGTACTCGGGGAGACTTTTCACGAGGCACTCCCACCTTGTGTCAACGATGGCTGTGGATCCTTCGGGTTTTGTTGGTCTGGCTTAGGCGGCTCCTGCTGAGGCTCTTTCGGCTTTTGCTGGCATGACTGCTTTGCCTCCTCTCTACATCGGTTTACCACTACCCAGCCCTCGTTGTCGCATGCCTCTCTCCCTTGGAAAGGAGTTCTGCCCAAACCCTCATAGTGTAAGTTGCGACCTTTAGCGTTACAAGCTTCAATGACCTGCCTGGATAATTGGGTTGTCGCCAGGCAACCGTCTTGAGGTGATGGTGATGGTGTTGGTGATGACTGCTGTTGTTCCGGCGTGCCTTGCTCATTCTTACATTCATATATCTTGCTCTTACCACCCTTTTCTGCCGCATTCAGCAGAAGCTCCATCAAACCGACGTTGGTGTGGATAATATTGTCTCTGTACTGCCTTGCATCAGGGTAGAAGATGTCGTTGCAGTCCCGGCTTTGCCCAAACTCAAAAGTCAAGGCATGGATGCGATTCGCCCCGCATGTCTGGTTATAATATCCCGCCATGGCCTCATCGGTGCTACCCAGAGCCGGGTACAGGTTTATGGTCTGATCAGCCTCATAGCGAGCTCCGTTGTTGGCGACACGGTTCATGGCAGTGGCCATGCGCTCGGCAGCAGATTTCTGGGCGTCAAAATCATCTCGCTCCATGTACTCTTTGTATTTATCATGGAAGAGGCCTCGTTGGCGGTCGTATCGCTGATTCCGAAAGCTCATGACAGGATCGTCAAACTGTGCATAATCGTCGCCCCATGAATAAAACTAGAACCTTTCCCAGAGCGGAATGTAAGTCGAGATACCATGACAAACTGGTAACACGTTCGAATACATTGGTGATGCTTCGCGTCTCGGGCTCAGAGAGAGGGCTTGGCCCAACGTAATTAGGGGCTGACGGCCTTTTCGACATGCTGACTCTAGCCCGGGGGGTGAAATACTCGCTCGCAGTCCCAGAAAACCCTGAAGTTGCGGTTGATGTCGACGCCAAACTCGTCATTTCCAAAAGGTCTGCGGTTCTTACGCCAGCATGCGTTGTGAGTCTGGTCGTAGTTGATCCCATCCCGGTTGACCGAAGGAATAATGGCGATGCCTACTCCGAGAGCTTGGCGGACTTGTGAAGCATTATATACTTTGCTGCCATAGGTGAGGCCGGTATTCTGCTTATCCGCCCAAAGCAGATCTGAAATTACTGTCTGGCCCTCCACGCTCGCGAGCATGTACACCACTGGTAAGGAACACACGGGGCTGGTCGGAGCCAACTACTCCGTAATAAATATCGCGGCCCTCATATGTCTTATGATCTGCAGTGGAGAGCTTCATTTTCTCCGGATATTCCTGTTGGAGACCTTTGAGAGCTGACCCAATTTCGGAGACACTTAAAATTGACAACTTGGATTCGTCTTTGAAATCGTCAGGCTTGGAGCAAATGCCCCGTGGCACCATTTTGCCGCCTTCAAAGCGATCCCCCTTTCCTATGGGCGCATAGTTTTTTGTTCTCGCAGACTGACGCCGGCGAAGACTGATTTGCCCACCTTCAGTCTCCTCTGGGAGAAGGCAGCCAGCAGTGACGTAGCCAAGGGCCGCCAAAGAAAGAGCAGTTTGCAACTTCATGACTTGATTGACCAGAATAGTCACTATTCATAAAAAGGGGGGCTTTTTGAGAGCAACGTAAACGAAACAAAGGCGCGACCCCCGAGTCGCAGCCAGGGAAGAGCGAATAGCTGAATGCTATGAGAAGATGTTCCTCGACTGGTGCAAACGAAGCAGTCAGATCTGTAGGACATATTGTCCCCCACAGCACCTTTTACAATCACGACTGTTGGTTGATTATACGCACAGTCATCAACGGCCAAGCCGACACCAGACCAGAGGTGGAGCGACACATCATCCACCCTTGATTTGCACCAGCACCGTGCTGCGGTTGCCAGTCATGGGTATTATAGCAAGGCCCAGTAACTTGCAATTTCCAGAAGCTGACATGTAGCCAAATCCATGATTGCGTCACGGCCAAGACTCATATTACCGCTTGCTTTTCCGGGACTGGGAGAAGCCGACACGGACAACGTAGTACCCGGCATCATAATACTAGTAGTAAACCTTGGCCAAAAAAAAAAGAGACACGTCTATTTTCGCTTCATAAAAGGCCTCCATGTCGTAAGCCTTGTTGTCAATGAATGACGACAAGTCTCGGCGAGTCATATATTCGGTCATGCCATCTTTCCAGCTTCAATCCAACGCGCCTCAATAGGCTAGCTGAAACATAGGAAGCTAGCGAACCGCCTGAATTAATAGTCAGCCCAGGATTAATCGACTGATGAATTCAATCAACAGCTGCCGGTCGTGACGCTGGCGTGCACTGGAGTTGGCCCAACTCCTACATTATATTGGCGCGAAATCCTGTTGAAGGTGATGGAGGTATTCCCAGGCATTTCAAGTCGCTTTAGATCCGTGGTACATATACTCATAGCCTATCAACTCGCACCACGACAGTAAATTCTCGAGATGCCCATGCGGATTGACCTGGCTGACCAGCTTGTGCGTGGCAGTACACGCAACCCAACCCCGGGGAGCTAGGCAAAGCCTTGAGGGAACGAACACTAGTGCCATAAGACGGCAATTATATGCAAGCATCACGAGAAATTAAATTCTCCATGCCGCGTAGGCTTGCTGCCAGCAGAGCTTGTTGTTTCTCCCTGGGCATTACGTCGACGTCCCAATACGGCTAAGCGGCGGTGTCCTTGACGCACCAGACCGCACAATTTGATGGGCTCGGACAGTTGGCCACACTGGATCCCCGTGATAATAGCAGGGCCGGGGAGCGCCCTTTGCCATTTGACTGGGCGACAAATGGGGAGGATGACTCGGAGAATTGCTCGGCGTTGCAAAGGTACCTTTAATATCCATGTTGGTGAGCAAGGCAGGTGTCGAGATTTTATGTACCTATGCATACCCCACGGTCTTTTTTTCACTAGTATGCATGATGGTTCACAATTCATGAAACTGATTTAACAATTGATGTACTCCGTACCGAATACAATTAGAGGCTGTCTGTCCAAGAGTTCCTCGCAGGCCTGACACATATTGACCCTTTCCACAGTGTTTGCCGCCCTTCACACTGGCGCCGTGGGAGGTGGGTTAGGGTTATTGTACCAGACCCTTGCAATACTCTTTCATTTCCCCCGAGAGAATTGCCTCAACAGTGCACTGTCATATTTACGAGCTCCATCAAGGTTATACATTAAACTTGTCAAAAGCAAAATGCCAACTTGACAAGTAACTTGTATGCTTCTCCATGATGTTGCATGCCAGCTGTCGAGGCTTACAGATTGATATTGGTGCACGCCAAGTTGATTAGACCCTGTATCAGCGGTTAGCATCAAAGTCGCGTCTTTATACAAATAGTCACATGAAACATACATTAGAATCTCCTGTGCAGCACGCAACCTGGTTGCTGCATGCATTGCTCAACGGGATTGTGAGACCTTGTCAAGGTTAGTATCATTTGACCTGTTGTACGTAATGATGGGAATTTCTCGTACCAATGATAGCAATATTAATGGGTTTGCAATTACCACCCAGCAGGTTGCCTAGTATACCACCAACAACGTTTCCCGTATTACAGCATGAGACTACCTGGTGATTGCCGCACTGTGCAGCAGCATCACCAACCGTCGGCTTCTTCGTAGGACGAGGACCGCGCTTCGTGGAAGTCGGTTCCCTTCTGGAGGTCGATGGTTTGGTAAAAGATGAATGCTGATCAGTAGATGAGGACCTGCTGTTGGGCCGAGTGCTCGTGGAAGTTGGCTCTTTTCTCGTAGTCCAAGTGTTGGTTAAAGACGAAGGTTCGCTGGGAGACCAAGTCGACGAGCTCGTCGAAGTTGGTTCTTTCCTCGTAGTCCAAGTCTTGGTTGAAGACAGAAGCTCGCTGGGAGACCAAGTCGACGAGCTCGTCGAAGTTGGTTCTTTCCTCGTAGTCCAAGTCTTGGTTGAAGACAGAAGCTCGCTGGGAGACCAAGTCGACGAGCTCGTCGAAGTTGGTTCTTTCCTCGTAGTCCAAGTCTTGGTTGAAGACAGAAGCTCGCTGGGAGACCAAGTCGACGAGCTCGTCGAAGTTGGTTCTTTCCTCGTAGTCCAAGTCTTGGTTGAAGACAGAAGCTCGCTGGGAGACCAAGTCGACGAGCTCGTCGAAGTTGGTTCTTTCCTCGTAGTCCAAGTCTTGGTTGAAGACAGAAGCTCGCTGGGAGACCAAGTCGACGAGCTCGTCGAAGTTGGTTCTTTCCTCGTAGTCCAAGTCTTGGTTGAAGACAGAAGCTCGCTGGGAGACCAAGTCGACGAGCTCGTCGAAGTTGGTTCTTTCCTCGTAGTCCAAGTCTTGGTTGAAGACAGAAGCTCGCTGGGAGACCAAGTCGACGAGCTCGTCGAAGTTGGTTCTTTCCTCGTAGTCAAAGTCTTGGAAGAAGAGAGTGGTTTTCTTGTAGGCCATGTCCTCGTGGAAGTCGGTTCTCTCTTTGTGGACGTCTCTCTCGTGGTTGTCGACTCTCTCTTTGTAAACGTCGGCTCTCTCGTAGTTGTTGACTCTCTCCTTATGGACGTAGACTGTCTCTTGGTGGTAGACGTTTCTCTCTTCGTCGTACACTTGGACGAAGACAATGGAGTACTGGAAGACGAGGACCCGGTGCAAGATGTCAAAGTCTTGACAGCAGTCGAAGTCCTGGCAGAAGTAGGTCTAGTGATGCGTTCCGTCGAGGTATGAATTGACTTGGTAACCGTGGTGGTTCTCGCATGGTACTCCGTCTTTGGTATATACACAAAGACAGTCCCTTTACATACGTGGCACTCGGGGTGCTTCGTAGATGTCGATGTAGTCACACAGCCTTCTTTGGCAGGCAAGGTGTGGGTAGCATATGGTGGTGACTTGTGAGCTGGTGTCTGCCACTCCTGCCATGCCTTGGTAGTGCATGCATTGTAGCAATGGCCTAGGTCAAGATACGTGGTTGCAATAACTTCGACGGTTCGGGCCTCAACGTTACCAGCAATTGACTGCTGCGCAAAAAATGGTGCAATTAGTGCCAGTTTCGCCAGGGAGGCCGCCAAGAAGCCACCATATGTAGGCATGTTTATTACTGGGATGTTGAGAAGAAGAACAAGAAAATAAGAAGGTAACAAGAAACGAGCGATGGTGGTAAAAAATGTCAACGAGTGATGGCCGAATGGAAAGAAAGGAGACGATTAAGGGTAGACTTCACCTGGGAAGTTAACAATCCTTATGTATTTTCTGTTTGGTGTCACATATTCTGCTGTGGGTCACGCCGTCGAGGTATGCATTTCCGTTGACGGCACAAGAGCGGCGTCTTTAGCGTAGTGGTAGCATGCTTGAGGCTGATCTTATACAAACGTGTAATGAAGGCTCTGTTATCGTGGAGTGAGACAATACTGCTTCCGGGGCGATGCAGGGCGGGCAGGTCTCAAGTGCTCGTAAAATGTAGCGCAGGGAGGCTTGTTTGGCCGGGTGATAACCAAGTCCAAGACAATAATCGCAAAAGGTTGAAATCAACCATGCGGGAGCATCACTCGAGAGACGCTGGTGCAAACGTCCAAGACTTTACCGAAATCAACCATCGTTGCCATTGTACTGGACGAGGAGTGATTGCGGCGGTAATAACTGTAGCGTCATGAAGTGTTCATTCCATCTGAAAAGGATTGAACCATACCCTGCCTACTAGCAGCAAGTCGGCGATTCATCCAGCTCGTACGTGGCCCGTCATGACACTCATAAGTGCTGTTTGGTATGTTTGGTACTCAAAGCCATCTTCATCTTTGTCCACCCCTCCCCGTCGCCCACAGGAATGTGGTCAATTGTCTACCAAGCGTCGTCAAGTTCGGAATGTTGATTGCATATCGCCATGTTATACTACATCGCCAACATCTATAACATTTAGCATTGGCCCCTTGAGTAGCATTGTCAATCTTTTCTTATGGATATGAGGCAGCGATGTAGGGCGCGCGCGTCTAGTCCGTACGACTGCATGCATTCTGTCTTGCGTAGTTGCCGATCTGCTGAAATGGCATCAACTGCATGGCCACTTGGCTCTGTCTCTCCTCATCATGGCAACCGTCTGTGGAAGATGTGGAAGAGTTGCCTAAGGAGCCCTGTCACTGTTCCTGCTTTTCTGTTTTCCTGGACCTTTCCATGGCTGCTTCTGGGAAAGACGAATGGCTTGGGGCCCGACATGATAAATTCGTACTCCGATTTCAGTCGCAGCCCGTTCCCTAGGACTCCAGATACCCCTACTAATCAATTGGCGCAGCTGCTGCATTACTGATCAATTGATGTCTCAGTTGACAACCGGTTGTAGTTTCAAATAATAAAAATGGCGGACTTGGCGCGGTCCGGAATCCACAGCTATAAATAAAAGCAAAAAAAAAAAAATCATCATGCAAGACAGTGCGATGTTGTCGAGCTGGTTCAATGAGATTCCTGCTCCTGACGGAAACATCAAGCAACCGACGCCACCCCCAGAGGGACAATTGGTGCGTAAAGTTCTGGGAGGATACCCCAAGGTTGCCTTGGCTCCGCCTCGGACCGCCACACGGCCTGTCCCATCTTGACATGCATCACGTGGTCATGTGAAGGTTCTTAGGTTCTTAGGTTCACAGGCTGCCAAACGCGCGACGACTTCCGAGGGTGTTTCGCTCCAACCCGGCCATCTCGATCGAGGATCAACCTGGCCGTCGCCAGCATGAGTCGCGTCGTGAGACTGTGGTGTTTGTAATTTGCTTTCCGAAAATACTAGCATGCTGGCATGAGACACTCATTGGAGTGTGTCTTGATGTCTCACCCAGACGCGCTCTCGCGATCTCTTGCCCTCGTGTAGTGTGGCACTGTTACGTTGTCTGTTTACGTCTAGAGGTGGCTACATGTCTGAATCGCATGCTGACATGGCATCTACGGGGTCTGTGAATCGTCTTCAGGATAGAATCAGTGCTTGAACTCTTCCTTCTCGTCTTAACTTCCATTTTCCGGCTTCAGACACCCGACGCTTGCATCTCCAAAATGCGTCGAGGTTGGCAGTACACTGTATTCGGCGCGACATTCCACAGTTGGACCCGACTGCTAGGTTGGAAGACAGACTTGGAAATTTACGAGCTTTAAGTTGCCAGTAGATCAGGTCGTGCAATTTGTGCTGCCAGAAATCGCTGTTGGTGTCCCGAGGGGAAAGGCTCTCGCAATGACATGCGCTGGTCCATCATTCTGTTCTCGTCTGCACCATTTCACTACAGCTGGAAAGGGATACGTATAACATGTAATAACTAGTATTACTGCCATGTGGCTGAGCCAGACCACAAAAATAAATACGAGGATATGCATGGTACGGGCCGTGCTGCCTCATTCCAGAAGCGCCAAGCTATGTTCTATAACTTGCGCAGGGATATATTATTGCTCCTACCAACACTACTGCCAGTCATCTTCGTCCTCAGATCCGACCTGGATTCTATGATGATGATTCTTATGACAAGAAAAAAATGGACGTGGCCACGCCACGGTATTTCATGGTTGTATCCTCCTATACCGTCATGCACTTCTCTTTTTGGCACGAAAAGCCCGCCAGTGACCCTTTACCGCCAGATCTTTCGTACTCTAGGGCCCTTGCCTCCTTATTCACTGGCACATTTACAAACTCGGTCAAAACTAGCGCGATGAACCCAATCCTTTGTAGACAATCTCCAACCCCTTGGGAGTCTCCGATTTACAGATGCTCCTGTTCTCGCATTGATAAATATATCTTGACTATGACAGATTCGCCTACATAGCTCATGTAGGTGCCTACGATTAAATATCGAGTAGTATTAGTCATAGATAAAGCTAACCATGTAGTTGACTTATTCCAATTACAGACCCTTTTTTTTTTTTGCTCTACATTATAACAGCTTCCACTTCGGTTAGCTAGCCATCAGGAAAGCTCCAAGCATGGCTCACCGTTGCATTTCAAAGGGAACAGTGGCCGCTATATTTATATTGCACTAGTTCCTGTTAAATCGCATCATCGCCGTGATTCTGGCTTCCTCCAAGGGACTGTCTTGCATGTGAGGCGGGGTGAGAGCGGTATTAGAATAGCTATAATTGCTAGACAACACTACAGTTTATTCCTTCTGCATTTGCACGCAAGTCCTTCAACGGCTAGACGAAACTTGATATTGACATCTCTACGCGTTATATACGCGATTCATGGCGGACAAAACTACGCTGCAGCCGCCAGTAGCCCAGACGCTTGCGGGCAAGGTTGCAGTTGTGACTGGCACCGACAGCGGCATTGGCTACGCAATCGCCAGAGAGCTCTCGTCATGTGGCACAAATGTGGTTAACTATTCGAATCCCGGCCTTGAAGAAAAGCGAGATGAGGCCGCTGCCTCTCTACCAACCCTCGGCATGGCTGTTTGCGCGAATATTTCCACCGTAGAAGGACCGGCGCCGTTGATTGAGGCCACCACTGTGTTGACATGATCACGGGCAGCACCTCGGCTGCATGTGTACTGTCAATGCTGTGTCCCCAGGGCCGACGGCGACCGAAGGATTCCTATCGGCGGGACAAGAGGCCATGAGGAAGGATCCTTGGACCAACCGTTGCGACGACGCCGGCGGACAAGCGAATGGCTTCTCCGGACGATGCCGCGGGCTTTAGGGTTACGAGATGGATAGATGGGGAGCATTTTTTTGCGAGCGGAGGGCTCTTCATAGACTGTAGTAGCGGAATTGATGCTTTCTAGAGTGTGGAGATGCATTGGACTGTAGTTCCGACGTCATGGCCCGAGTTGCTCAATTGTCCGTCTTCCAATATCATGTCTCGGAGATTGATTGGTGATTCAAGCTTCGGCATCCGGCAGCAGGGCGAGCTGATGGCTAGTTTGAGACGACAAGCTTTTTATTTAACCAGACCCTTGTCCGACATCGTCCCACCCAAACCGTCCCCATACGCCCTTCGCAAGTGCATGCCATCCAATTCAACTTCGTCATCCGACAGTCGAGGTACGGTGAGGACACTTCGACCGCCTCGCCATCGCCAAAATGCGTGCCACCTTGCGGAGATCATGCGATTCATGTGCCAAGGCAAAGCACCGATGCGATCTTCATACGCCCCGTTGTTCTCGCTGCATCAAAAAGAGAGCAAGGTGTGTCTACGCCAACGAACCACTGACTTCGTCGTCCTCTTCGGACACCTCGGGAACTGCCTCTTGGCCCTGCGAGGACGAAGTCGACACCATGTCGACATCGTCACACCCAAAAGTGTCCATGGCAGTGCGTTCAGCGTCGCCCGTGTGGCTTGTTGACCCGGCCAACGCGTCCTACGACCCGTTTGATTCGTACCCGGCAACAAGACTTCCTCGCCTTCATGTTCAACGTCTTATTCGCCACTGTAGTGATACCTTTTTTCTCTTTTCGTGTAGAGGAGAGCTAACTTGTCTAGTCCTGTCGAGTATCGCATTTCAGTATTACCCTCTTGACATGAACAGCGAGACAAATCCATTCATTGTCTCGTGGTGGCCCTTGGCCCTTGAGGACCCTGCTCTCTTCCATGTATCTCTCCAAACAGCTTCTCTTGACCAAGAACTACGGGCTCAAAGGGGTTTTGCTGTATCAGAGGCTCTCATGGTTGATTCAGTCTCGGAGTTGAGAAAGAAGATTGAACATTCGTCTTCGGCAGTGCAGGATGAGACAATCAACGCAGTCGTAACATTGGCAGCGATTGAGGTGATGCAGCCCCATGCAATTCGTACATGTCGAATCTAACTGTTGATCCTATAGCACGGAAAAGGAAATTTCGAGTCTAGTGTTATGCACATCAAGGGCGTCAAGAAAATGATCAGCTTGAGAGGCGGCATTGGCCAGGTAAAACACACGAGTCCACTGACGGCTCGGATGGTTTTATGGTAAGCGGTTTCGTCCAAAGACTCTCTGGGATACAGAGTCTTGCTGAATACCACTTGCAGGGTCTCCATGCTGGTGACTTGTCAGCCCCAATTCGGCATTCACGACCATGTCGGCGGCGACGGCATACTATCCGGTTTGCAATGGCAGCTTGCGTCTGCTCATCTGGATTCAAACAGCATCCGACTATACCATGAAGAGATTGACCCCAACGTGCGCGATGCGCTTGCTTGTCTCCGCTACATCTTTCATCAAGGAAAAATCACCACCACCGAGCTGCACGACCTGACTTGCTTTGTGATACACAAGTTGCTGTCACTGCAACAGCCACCAAGCGACGGGAGTAGCAACCATCACAATGCAGTATCCGAGTCTCTTCGGCATGCGCTGGTGCTATATCTGCTCATCATCCACGGCACAACGTATTATTCACATCTTCACATGTCCACTTTACTGGCAAAGCGGCTCAGGGGACACCTGCAATATTTACCCGCCAGGGGCGGTATTCTGGACTCGCTGAAAATCTGGGCCATCTCCATCGGAATGGTATCCTCGTTCGACCCCATCGATCGTGCGTGGTTTGCCTCAGAAGCCCGCTCTGCTCAAGCGTCTCTTGGCTTGAACTGCTGGGATGATGTCGTGACGCACTTGGAACATGTACTTTGGTTCAAGACGCAGCAAGACAACGTTTTCTGGTCGGAATGGCGGCCAATTCTTAGCAATACGAACCGTTGATGATTGACATTTTTCTCTGACCTTTTACGCTTGACCTGGATCCATCTTCCCTCAAACTCGCAACACTTACACCTTGTTGCACAACTTGTGTACTAGACTCCGCTCCGCGAAATACACCTCGCTTGTACAAAATCGAAACCTGGAGACATCATCGTTTGCATTTCGGAGAAGATATTGTTCGGTGCGCTTGATTTCAGTCACTTTCGTCTTGGAAGCATAGTTCTTTGTACAACAAACTAATGATTCACTTGTCGTGAACCAGCCAGATGGCCGGTAGAACCAAGGACCGAGGCTGTGCTGCGCGACCTAGGCAAGAATATTGCCATGTTGCGTTGGGTAAGACGATAATATCCTGAAACGTCTTGTTGGATCATGTATAAAAGCTTCGCCTTACAACAGCGACTATATCGCGTTTTGACCTTCTAGATTCATGGTTGTGGCATCTGACTGTGATACCTTTCAAAGGCCTTGAAGTGCGTTTGAGTCGCAAAACCATGGGTTATGGCGACCCGCGGGCGCTACCTGGGGTGTTTGGTCTCGGTTTTCCAGCCAGGCAGAGCCCATGCGCAGTCAGTATTACTGATCATGCTCTTGAAAGTTACCCATCAGTTCTAGTTCATGTCTGCGATCACTAGTTTGAGTAGGCCTTTGAATGCTAGCGAGCAGAATGGGGATGAAGCAGTGGTGTTCATCGGACTCTTTCGTGAGATCAAATATGGAGTTGAACCAGACATTATTTGGAGGCCGGAGTTGGCGGGATCAATAGATGCTGCGAAAGCATGTTATTATGAGCGCTGCTACATGGGCTTTTTCCCAAGTCCTCGGTACAAACCACCTGATGTTACATTTCGATCGAAAAACGAAATATTTTTGCTGCCAAGAATAGAGTCATGCCGCCCGTTTGAGTTTCCCAACGCATTACTCCGTAGTCACTCGCACATACACACACAGCAGTAAACGCATTTCTACGCCGACACCTGCTTTTCGTCTCTGCTTCATAAGTTTACACAGGAAAGCGGTTTGCTCTCTTATGGCGGCTTGTGCAGTGCCGGAGTCGCCCGGAGTCATGGCATTGGAGATCCCAGGACGCATCGCGCCTGGAAGCTTCCATTTGGACGGTTGATTTTCAGGCGATGCGGAGCCTAAAGTTGAAAAAGCGGCACCTGGGGCTTCTCTCTCAGGTGTTGATCCGCCCGACTGTTTGGGAACACAAAACAGTGGCGGCGATGATGGGCGGTAAAGCGGCATCAGAGACCTCCTTCAACGCGTCGCGCTACCAGCGCTTTGAAGGATACAGACGAGGTCGCATATTGATATCTGGACACAGATCACTAGCTATTACAGTCCCCGAAGCCGATACTAGTGGTATTTGAGATCAGCGGCGGTTCGGAATTCGGCTTCTCATCGCAGTTATATTTGCTGCATGGCTTAACAAAACAAGCTGCCTAGGGTTCAGAATGCACCCCAGCTCACCATGGACTCGTGTCTTATAGAAGCACTTGAGGCTTTTGCACCTACCCTGGTGCGTTGAGGCATATTCCGCAGCACGAACACTACAGTAGCAACCCACTGTCTCTTGATTTCGTTGGCCAGGGCCTGCCGCTAATTATCCTTCTGTGCATTGGGCATAATGATGCTAAGAAGTCTGGTGTCCCACACCGCAGTAAAGACGAGGGTGAAGCGGGCGGGGAAATGATTGCATTTGAGGAAGTTGATTAACTAACACGTCGCAGACGCGATCGGGGCAATTTCGCACGAGACTGCCTCTTGCCATCGTTGTAGAGTAATCGGTTCAAGTCTTGTAGCATTAATCACTTTGACCCCTGCGCAGCAGACGGACCCGAGGGCATACTAGGCTATCCGGAACTTTGACGCTTCCTAGGTCGCGTTGGGTTAGTTTCCGGATTTACTCGACAACAGGTGGAGCTGAGTTGTTTGAGCTAATATTCTAGACCTCCGTCTTCTTCTTTGAGGTAGTCTAGTATCTAGTAGTCTACCCCTGGCAGGGAAGGGAGTAGAGTTTCCCGAGTATCCGATCCGATTGACATGACATCGATGACAGAGTCCGAGTCTGTGTGGCACATCTTTGGATCCTACGTCCATGGACTGGAAAAACCATTACCTTGGATAGTAGGCCCCAAGGTTGGAACCGTAGCTAGGCTGCAATAGTCATAAACATAGAGAAAAGAAGAGGCCTTGATTGTCAGGGGCAGCGTGAGAGTTGTTTTCATATCTAATGAAATAAGGAGAGAATGGCAGGTTGGCTAGTACACTGGAGCCAGAACCAAGGAGGTATTAGGAAATTAGACTCTTGAGACTATGGTGTGATACCTTGGAAGGAATGTCAACACATAGACATGCAACTGTCCGAAACTAAAAAATGGCTTTCTGGGAGCATGGAAAACGAAAGGGAATTGGAGTCTACCCAAAAACTAAAACTCGCAAGTGCCCTGACGGTCAGTCTTGGGATGGCAATAAATGCATTTTTGATTGTGTGAAGGAAGCTTTCTTCAATGATAAAATCCCTAATTGAGTCTGCAAAGATGACGAAAAGCGGTATGACCCCGGATGAAAACTTGTAGCTGTCCTCAAGGCAAAGCCTGGGACTACCATCGATGTGTTTACGACTGTGGCAAGGACGTGTACTTCAATGACAAACTACAAATACGTATTTGCAAGAAGCAAGGCCAAATGTTTAACTAACAATCCAAGACTTGCAGTTGTCCCGAGAGCAAGCTTTGGAATGGTTGGAAATGCGAGGATAAGTGCGGCAGAGATGCCAACTGGGATAATAAATTTCACGAGTGTTTTTGCAAGAAGGATGGCCAAATTTTTGATCCACGTACCATGATTTGTCGATGCCCAGATGGCAAGACTTGGAACGCGTGGAAGTGTGAAGACAGATGTGGAAAAGACGCCAACTGGGACAACGGATAGAGCAAATGCGTCTGCAAGAGGCAGGACCAGACTTTTGAACCCTCATGGTAAGACATGCAAATGCCCCGATGATAAGTTCCGGAATGGTTGGAAATACGAGGACAAGTGAGTCAGAGATGCCAACTAGGGTAGCAAATGGCATAAATGCGTATGCAAAAACCACGACCAAGTCTTTGAGCCAAAAACAAGAAACGTGCAAATGCCCCAACAACAAGAGGTTCGACGCTCGCACAAACACGTGCAAAGATCATCATTCATGATGGGTTCATACTTGAGGATATGGACGTATAATTCTAGTCATTGGGTGAAGGGGGCAAGTCTGAGTATTCTGAGAACTCGCGAAGAGGTCGAGCAAAAAATACAAGGCAACGGCGGACGTAGTTTTGGAGAGGGACTCTGAGGTTCTACTAGGAGAAGTTTGACTTAGCTCTTACTAATATCTGTAGTCAATTCTGTATTTAATTTCTACCTTCAGGGCAAATATTTCTAGCTGACTCATGCCTCCCTGGCTATTCTGCCAAATGGACTGAATGCCCAGAGGAGCTCATGCATGAGTGCTTCAATTTTATCGCACAGGTTTCCTAATTCAACATGTTAGGTCCCGAAATAAACACTCCCCGCTCCAGCTGCGTTGCTCTAAACTCCATTTGGCACCTTCGGCTTCGGGAGCGTAACGGCTTATCTTGGATGTGTGGTTAGCTGAGAGCTGATCGACAAAGCCGTTGTGGATCAGGCTGTTTTGTTACCCAGAAGCCTTGTTCATACAGTAGTCTGGCTGAGCATGCTACCAAGAATAGAAATTGCTCAGGGTTAGCTTAGGGACAGTTACCAAGGGCTGTGGAGGATTTGAGTTTGTGTCGTCTGCCTAACATGACCGTTTGTTGAATATTATGCCAGTTTCCGCGACCTTGCATGACGAATAGGTTGTCTTTAAACACCCACCCCCCCTTTTTTTTTTCCCCTTCATATAAAGGTTATCGAGAGACAGCCACCACTTTCTCAACTCATAACTCACACGAAAATGAAAGTATCCGCGCTGTTCGTGCTTTCCGCTAGCACACTGGCTATAGGCCAAAGTCCTAATAGCTGCAAAGGCTTTTTTTTTGGGGAGGGGGGGGGGGAAACGGCGAGGAATTCATCCTCGTTGATCAGGGCGTAAACACGCATCTTGGTCCTCTTTCAAAGATATTCGGCAATTCCAATAAGCAAGTTAATATTTCCAAAGTCTTCTACGATGGAAACCACCAGATGAGTGGCGCTATAAGCAAGCTCAGCTGGGAAAAAGCAAACGACTTCAACGATGTTGATACGGAGAAGTGGTATCCGCAAGGTATTTCTTCAACCGCAGATGCCGCCGAAGTTGGAACCTACGATGGCAAAGACGGCTGGCTAGTCAGCTGGTACAGCGACGAGAGTCACCAAGTGCGCATCTCCTTTGTGAATAGAGCCACCAAGAAGTACCGCCATGCATTGCTGGTTAGTCCTTCGGCCGACGACGACTTTGGAGGCGTGGGCACTCACGCAGGCGGTATTATGTGGTATCGTGATACTCTCTGGGTAGTCGATACATCCAATCGCATTCGTGTTCTCCACATGACCAACGTCTGGGAGGTTGGGTCTGGTGACAAGGTCGGCAAGATCAGTGCTGGGAAATACTCCGCAGCAGGATATAAATATGTAATTCCTCAGATCAGGTGAGAAAGCGACGTGAATAAACGGGTAACCTAACTACAGGATGCAGGTGGTATAAATGGACCCCTTCTTTCTCATTCCGATTCTCTTATATTTCTCTTGATCGCACTGCCTCTCCCGATCGTCTCATGGTTGGAGAGTATCAGCCCGACGAGAAGAAACCCATCCGAATGGTGCAGTTCGGATCGACTACACCACTCGTACCTTGAAGACCGGAGCAGACAAGACGGCTATGGGAGTTTGGGCATCCTGCTACGACATCCTGCGAACACAGGGTGCCATGCAAGCCAATGGCAAAATCTACGTATCTCGAAGCAATGGCGCCAATACGAATGGTGACATTTGGGGATGGATTCCAGGAAAGGGCGCTGCAATTAATAAAGGCGTAGTTCCTCGCAGACCTGAGGATTTGAGTTATGATAAGAAGGGCTAAAAGATATACACCGTAACCGAGCATACCGGCCAGAGATACATTGTTACTTTGGATTCAACCGAGATTAAGTTTCCATAAGTTGTTACCTATAAGCCAAATGGAAAGTTTTATCTGCCACCCTTGTTTTCAGTCCACTGGACCTCTACATGCAATTGCACTTACGTACCAATTGACGGTCATATATTTTAGTAACTTGGCAAATACAATGGGTACTTTTCACTTTCAAATGCTTGGACTTCCGTATCGCCTCATAATGAAGCCCTTGGCGAGCCACATAGTGACTATTCTGCAAGTTAAATGCTTTACGACGCGCTTGAACCCATTATTACGCATCATTGTGAAGTGTTGTCAACGTCTACGTTTTGCACATGGTTCAAGAATTCGGGCTAAAATCCTATAAGTGTCATTCTTTCTATATGCAACGTGTCTCTTCTATACTGTCACAATGTAATTATTGAGTTAAGAAGCCGTGTTTTTCGCAGACTTCTTCGCGGCTCTCCCACCAAAACCCCATCCAATCTGATGAGCAACGTGGATATCGACACCCAAATCGTCCGCCCAGGACCACACCAATCCTGGATTTTTCAGGAACATGCGACCAGCTGCAATTAGATCCAGAGGTGTATCGTCCTTATCTTTGCCGCCTTGGATGATATCCTGGGCAACATCCCCTGTCTTGATGCTTCCCACAGAGCTCACCAACATGGCGTCACCGACAGCTGCCTTGATGGCTTTTGCAAAAGGGGCCTGGTAGCCCGGTCCGCCAACCACTTTTTGATGGCTATGGTTGCCGCCAGTAGAGACGTCCAAGACGTCAACTCCACGCTCGGCAAGCAGCTTGGCCAGTTTGACGCTCTCGTCAAGTGTCCAGCTTGCGCCCCCGTTCCAGTTGGGGTTCGTGTCGAGCCAATCCGTGGCGCTGATGCGCACAAACAAGGGCATATCCTTTGGAATCGCCGCTCGCGTCGCTTCAACAAGCTCGAGGGCCAGCCGAGAGCGATTTTCGAAGCTTCCACCGTATTGATCGGTGCGCTTATTCACCGCCGGCGACAAGAAGCTCGATACAAGGTAGCCGTGCGCAAAGTGAAGTTCGATGACATCAAACCCGGCGCGGACGGCCCGGTGTACGGCGGAGAGAAAGTCACGCTTGAGTTGGTCAATCTCCGCCACACTCATGGCACGCGGAGTCGGGTAGTGCTCGTCAAAAGGATCATTGCTTGGCCCGACGACGTCCGACGGCCAACCTCCAACCTCTTCGGTGGCTGCCGCGCCGGAACTGAGCCAAGGCGCAACAGTCGAGGCCTTTCGGCCGCCGTGTGCCAATTGAATGCCGATGAGAGCATTTTGGCTGTGCGCAAAGTCGACATGCTTCTTGAGCGTGTCCACGTGGGCATCGAGCCAAATTCCGGAGTCTTCCGGAGTAATGCGTCCATTCGATTGAACAGAAGTTGCTTCAATCATTGTAAGGCCGGGCTACAACATTTCTCAGCCTTCCGCACAAACAAACAAGACAAGGAGAACAAGAAACCTACGCCTCGCTGTACCATGCCGCCATAGTGGGTAATATGCCAAGGGGTGTGAAAACCTTCATGACCGCTGTATTGGCACATTGGGCTTACCCAGATTCGATTTGGCATCGTGATGCCTCGGATTTTGAGTGGTCTAAAGAGCTTGGGTATCGGTTTGCCAGATGGCTGAGGATCTACGGCGGTGCCAGCTACCGGATCCTGCTCTGGCGTGAAGAACGGGACGCCTTTGGCAGCAACGTTCGGAATAGGGGCAAGGCATTTTGCAGATTTCTCTGCTGCTGGTGTTTCAGAACGCGAGACGGGAACGCCGTGATGAGGGTGCGAGATGCGCTGCGTGAGATATGCTGCCATAATGCAATAACTCGGGCTGGGGGCCACAGAATAAGGAGTCTAGTGTTGTGTTGCGGAATGGTGTTGTTGTCGTATGATGGTGAACATCGTTTTATGACGAGGCGGCGGGTTGCTCTATTTATACCGAAACAGTCCAGCATCCGCCTCCTGTTTTCGCAAAGAGCTGCTGATCGCATCTGATGCAATGTTCCCTCGAACGAGTCCCAGGCTTGATTTCTCAGCAACGAGTTCGGGTCATGTCGTGTAAGTAGCCTTGACCGTGGCCGTAATTGGTGCGATTCGGAGTCGATCACGTCAAAAAGGCGGGACGGTGGACCAGTCCACCCCATCAAGTTCCCACGCGGCCGGTATCTTCGGTATTCTCGGTGTCGTGCCGAGTGCTCGACCTCGCGGAGACGCAGAATGCGCCGGTAAGTCTCGGTTGTACCCGAGAAAATTTGCACTTGCAGATGAACCTTGTGCAGGGACGTAAGCTAAACAGCAACCAGGTTTGGAGCTCGGCCAAAGAACGCTCTCCGCGGCAGACACTCTTGATAAGAGCACATGCATGTTTACAAATCTAGTTCAGTTCAAGCGGGACAAGAGCTGGTGATGCGCTATTTTGAAACGACTAGTTCTTTACTGGGCATGTCCATCATGAGGCAAAGCGGATTAAATGGCAGCCGAGAAGAATTAATACGGCACGTAGGGCAAGCAATAACTTTACACCTCATACGGAATACAAAAAGTACTTCTCGGCAACTGATTCATAAAAAATGTGGCTTACGCCATTCACGTGCGTACCATCACGAACCTCGTAATTTGATACCACCAGACCAAGCCGGTCGCAGGCGGCCCCTGGCAGGGTCCTAGAAGGGCTCCCAGAGGGTAAACTCAAAAATAAAGCTCCAGATGTCTCTAAAGCTGGGAAAATTGGGGATAAAGCTCCAAGAGGCACAAACCGACAGCTTCAACGGGTTCAAATTCAGCGGCTTCAACGGGTTCAAATTCAGTGGCTTCAACGGGCTCGAATTCAGCGGCTTCAAGAGGCTCATGTCAATTTAACAGCAGAAGCCCGTTACAAGCTCCCCGCAGGCGGCTCCCAGACGGGATAAATAACAGGCTCTAGCTCTCTCCGCTTTGTCTATCCCCAGGGCAACCTGCTCGTCGACATCAGGGTCTTGTTAGCTCATCTGCTCCAAAACTTGGCGCACTAGTCTTATGTCCTCTGCTTCATCTTCCCAGAAACGTAGGTGTGCTAAACAAATCCCCAGCACATCTCGGGCTTGCTGTTGAAGCCCCATTCTGGATACCAATCCAATTTTCTCGGAGCATTTTAGTATCAGTATGCGAGACGCTGATTCTCGACATCTAAACCATGCGCCGGCATGCCGGCGCTGTAGCCCAAGTGTATGGAGAGAATTCAGACTGAGCACCAGGGCCTTGTCGGCAAATTGTTTCAGTGTTTCAACCAACGGCCAGTCATTGCCCTGCTGCAGAGACAGGCGATACAAGAATGGTCGATACAGCCGCAACCTGACAGAGGTGCACTGCAGCCACGTGGCCAGCTGCAACTCCGTCACTGTTGATAGAGAGACTGGCTCACTAAAGCACGACATGGAAGAAGGCAGAGTGTGCTGCCACTGTAGCAACTGCTTCTCCAGGTCCCACGCTGTATTTGCCATGTCAAGAAGATTCATACTCGCCCACAGCGAGGGGGGCTTGGTGTAAAACTCGTGGTCTACGCGGCTAGAAATGCGAAGCAGCGCAATGTTTGACAGGTAGTAGAACCACGAGTGCTCGTGGACGGTTTTGAAACCTCGCTTTTCCGTCGCATCATCGACGGATAATAAGACAGTTGGGGCGAGCATGCCGACTGTATTCATGTCTTGGGTGTCGTGTAAGCCATCAACACTCTTGGGCGTTGGCGGCGACGGAAATTGGTACGGATACTCTACCTTGCACAAGTCGGATCTGGGTAAATCTACCTCGGTGCAGATTTCGCTGTTCATCGTCAGCAAACACGGACGCCGCCGGACCTCTACTAGTGTCGAGTGTTTTCTACGAACTTCTCAGACTTGATGCAGCTCCAGTACAGTCTCTGTTCTAGACCACACCGCAGTTCCTCGCTGGAGAAGCGCTCATCCCCAACCAGAAAATCATCGTGGTAATGTCCCGCTCCAATCTGCTGCGCTGCAGCTCGGCTTTTCAGGTACACTGTATATAAAGAAGAGGCGTGGAAGAATGCCTGCCAGGCTTGTACCGGCCGGAAGGTATACAGCAGGTATATGCCATTTAGAAAATGACATTGGCACGCTGTGAGACTCCCTCCAAGTATCCCAATACGTCTGAGCGCATACTGCTGGTATAGCTCAGCTTGTTGCCGCGGTTTCTCGTCGTCCTTTGACACCGAACACGAAACTAGTTCCAAGGGCTCGAGTCTCGTTTCGAAGGGCTTGGCAATACAGCCCAAGGCCATGGCCATGAGCTTTGAAAAGGAAAAATAGTTCCAAAATTAGCGACGTTGAGCTTGATACTAAGGAAGGATGTGGAAGCAAATTATATACCACAAGGCACGTTTTCGCATCCCACTGCAGACCAAGCTCTGCAACGACTCTCCCATGGCGCATCAAGGTAGTACAGTCCAGTATTGGATTCATGACGTGGACAAGTCGTAGAAATCGTGTTAACAATTTAGCAACCTCATCGCCGTCAAACAAGGGCAGCGTCAGCCCTGGGCTCGCCAGCTGTTTGGGTACGCCAAAGTGGTTCGTAGCCAGAATGCCAACTTCGGCTAAGCATTCTCCCTCGCTAGAGTAAAATATCGGCCATTGGAACATGTAGTCTAATGTAGTAAATGGGGCAGACGTGCCAACAGACAACTCATCAGAGACATGGTCCTGACATGTATCGGCGGTTGGCGGCAGTCGCCTTAGTATTTCTTGGAGAGTGCTAGCTATTCCATCGCCACTCTGGCTGTGGCTTGATGAATCAGAGGTTTAGCATGATATATATACTTTCTCATGCCATTTCTTATTTGGGTTCCGGGCAAAGAACTCACGGCTGGGTTTCGTATGGTACTGCCGGCAAAGGGTAAACACATTTGCAACCAAGTCTGAGGCATCCAGCACAAGTTGGACGCTCATTAGAGCACTTGACCTTTCGGGCTCGACACACCCGGCAGGCTATCGGAGCACGCCTTGGAGGAGTAGCCGTGGCACCGTCCTGGGTGGCATTCCGTGCCAACAATGCACGCCTTGGTCGTTCGGCGTTGTGGATCCACGCACCGAGGATGCCCGGCGCGTGGCGGACATTTCATATGCTGGATGCGTGTTGCCGAAAAGGATACTTGATGTTTTGACAGACATGGAGGAGAGCAAAGAATTTCCAACGTCGGGAGCCATCTCCTCCGTTCTGGCGGTGCCGATATACGCGAATTAGTCATCTACAACTACTTGACCTCTCTACTCGTGCCCTGCCCCACATTTGGTAAGGGTGCATGTGGTGGTGACTCTGGTGAGGGCTTCGAATGAACAACCAAATGTGGGGCGTTGCGCGAGTAGGTATTTGGCCTCATTACTCCGTACGAGCAGATCAGCTCTTGGAGTCCCGGTAGGTTTTGCAAAGGAAAACCACCAACGCATGCGCAGAGTCAAGAACCAAGCGTCCAACGTCAAACAGCAAAGGGAAGACGGGACATTTGGCGTCGTCCTCCAGCGGGCCAAACGAGCCAAATGGTGCTGCGCCGTCTTGGTTAGATGCTCCAGTGTTGGGAAGCTTCTCTGTATGAGAAACGAAACAGCCAAATAGCATCCATAGCTGACGTGAGACTCGGGCAAAGCCTTGTTTGCTTGAAGCCGCGGCGACCCTGCGGCTTGGCTGCTCCATGTTGTTGGTTGGTGTTACATGTGCGATGACTGATACACGTCTCACGGCCAAGAAGGGCGTTTATTCGTAATTTCAAGGCTGAGACCGGACAGGTCATATTCATGCGGAGGCCCGACTTATCCGCCAAAGGCCGTTGCCTGTTGGAACAAAAGAAGTATGGGTGTGCTGACGCTTCGCCCGAGCCAAACCACAGTCCTGGCTTAGTCGGGCACCGACATCTGAAGCATCCATGTCACTAGAACTTCCTCTTTCAGGTATATTAATGCAGGGTCCTACACGGGCAACAAAAACGTCTGCAGAACGCCAAACGCCACGGCTGCGCCATCCCATCACCCGCACGTCGAGCCATTCAACTGGTGCTTCACAATCCACAGCATCTTACACGCAGATGCTGCGCCCTGTTGGCCGAATCCCAAATGCGCATCTGGTCACCCGTTTTGGTCTCTTTCGGAATTGGCGGAGTCAGCCCAATATCCGAGAGGTCCGCGGACATGGGCGAGGTCATATAATTCTGGGCTTCCCTGCATCTAGCAGTGTTTGCAGCGATTACTCAAAAATCTTGACTTATTGTGTTGTGGTTTGTGTTAACAGCTTCTATTATACATCTGCCCCTGTTTGGGCTCCGGGCTTCAAGGCCTAGCATCCTCAGGACAGTATTGGTTAGGACTCGGGAACCCTGCAATGCGTCATCCAACATTGATTCTCGCGGCAGCTTTTGCCATCTCAGGAACCACGCCGCCGTGGTTTGCCCATGCCGCTGCCTCCTATCCAGGAAGCGGCTCTTATCAGGCGTGTAAGTTACCACGTATGACACAAGGGCCCTGAACCAAGCTCGTTGACCAGAGTTAGCCTCCTTGGAGGAACGGGCAACACCCCAGGCCCCGGACGGGTACGCGCCAGCAACAGTTGACTGCCCGAGCATCAGACCAGAGATCCGCGTCGGGTCTTCTCTCAGCCCACAAGAGAAAGAATGGCTGCCTAGACGACGAACCGAGACGATATCACATATCCGAGACTTCCTTAAGCGGAATGCGATTCCGGGATTTGACAGCGATAAATACTTGAGCGGAGTTACGGCTAATTCAACTGCCCTGCCTAATATCGGCATCGCGGTTTCCGGCGGCGGTTATCGGGCAATGCTTAACGGCGCTGGGGCTGTCGCGGCGTTTGACAGCAGATCTCCGGGTAGCACCTCAAAAGGCAATGTTGGAGGGCTCCTGCAAAGTGCGACCTACATCTCAGGGTTGTCGGGAGGAGGCTGGCTCGTTGGTAGTATCTATACCAACAACTTTACTACCGTGCAAAATGCAGTCAAGTCGGGAACTATCTGGCAATTTGGACAATCCATCTTGGAAGGCGAGTATTTCTGTGTCCTTTAAGACGCTCTAGGCATGCTAACGTTTGGAAAGGCCCAAAAGATTACAAGGACTACTACAAGATCATTTTTGACGAGGCTGATAAAAAGCACGACGCTGGATTCAACAGATCTATAACTGATTACTGGGGCCGAATGTTGTCATACCAACTCGTCAACGCCAAGGACGGTGGTCCAAGTTATACCTTTTCATCTATCGCCGACGACTCTGACTTTTCTGCGGCAAAAACGCCACTTCCATTTCTTGTTGCAGATAGTCGTGCTCCGGGGGAGAAAAATACGACGATCGATGACGCCTTGTTCGAATTCAACCCGTGGGAACTCGGTTCAACAGACCCTTCGCTGAATGGGTTTGTCCCCCTCAAGTATGTGGGCTCCAAGTTCAATAATGGCAAGCTCACTGATTCCGAAAAGTGCATTGCTGGCTTTGACAACGTTGGCTTTGTTATGGGCACATCCAGTAGTCTATTCAATCAGATTCTTCTTCGACTCAAGGATAATGGAAATAAATACGTTCCAGCAGATGTACCCAAGTTTGTGGTCAAAATTATTCTCGAAATACTAACGGCCCTTGGAGACGCCAATAATGACATTGCCGATTGGACGCCGAATCCATTCAAAGGCTGGAATAAGGCCGTCAATAAAGCTGCTACGTCAGATCATCTTACACTCGTCGACGGCGGCGAGGACGGGCAAAACGTGCCATACCATCCGCACCTCCTTCTGGAACGGAAAGTTGATGTCGTCTTCTCGGTCGACTCGTCCGCTGACACAAATTCATGGCCAGATGGCGCCGCACCTATGAGGACATACGAACGCTCGCTTAGTCCCGTCTCCAACGGCACGAGCTTCCCCGTCGTGCCTGGTCGCAACTCATTTATCAATCTTGGCCTCAATACCAAGCCGACATTCTTCGGCTGCAACTCAACCAATACTACGAATGCCGCACCGCTCATCGTCTATCTGCCCAACTACCCCTACCAGTTCCACTCCAACATTTCTACCTTTTCGTTGAGCGTCAATAACAGTGAGCGCGATGCCATGATATCAAATGGCTGGGCCGTTGTGACGCAACTAAACGGTACTCGTGATGCAGATTGGTCGACTTGTGTTAGTTGTGCCATGCTGCAGCGCAGCTTTGAGCGAACGAAAACCCCCATTCCAGCCAAGTGCAACCAGTGCTTCTCACGGTACTGCTGGAATGGTACCATAGATGAACGTTCCCCTGCGAAGAGTTACGAGCCACAGTTGTACGGAACAGTCATAGATGTTGAGGAGAAGAGTGCTGGTCTGCGGCTATTTAGCAGCGCTTTAGTTGCTCTGGCCACCGTTACTGCTTGCCTGGCTGTCACGCTGTGAGCAGTTTTCCATGCTACATGGGAGCTTGTGTATATTTTAGCGTAGTAGGTTTTAATCTTCTTTAATATAAATAAATATTAAATAGATTTTAGATTTTGCTATAAAACGTGAGAAATTATATCTTAATATAAACTACTTTAGTTTTAAAGTTATTTTTATTTTTTTAATAT